GCGAGAAGGGTTACTATTCGAAGAGAAATCACCCTTCGTCGGGACGACATCGCCGGTGACACGCAGATGCGTCAATTTTCTGGAGGAAACGGGAATTGGAAGGTGGATAGGTTCAGCCCTTGATCGCTGGGAACAGGCAAAGCCAATCGAACGAACCAGAAAATTGATCGTTTTCTATCCCCCTGTCGTTCGAACTTTTGTTCGTAGAAATCACTCGTATCGTGTTTTCGGCTCACCCTGTGCGCATTCGAGGATCGTTATAATTCGCAATCGCGTCGGCGGTGTTGGTAACCGTTTACGAGAATAATACAACTCGATAATAACGGGCTGGCTATTATGGTCATTGCGAAATCAATTGACCGTTCAAGGCCAGCGAAGGACCTTCCGTCGTCCCGTTCGGCTACGAAATTTTATTCCCACAATAGAACGCATTTGCTCGTCACGTTTCTACAATTTTATTCCACAATTGAAACTTCATTTTTCGTTCCATGGTTTCTCTAATATCTCTAAAAAAACTGCACATTTTCGAGAAAAAACCAGAGGTGGCCGAACACCCTGTAGATTAAAAATAATCTCCCGTTACCGACGTTTCGAGTTTATAAAAATTCACGCGACCTCGATTATTTTATTTTTCCCCATCGATCGAATTACCGCGACGTGTCGTCTGGTTTTTCGGTAAGATTCCCTCTGGAGTGCAGTCGCGAGTATCCAGTACAGGAAAATAACCCGTTACCGTTATTGCCGTTGCTATTATTTGCACCGGTGTATCGTCGACGGTTTTATTCGTCGCGTGTGCGCCGCCACGACTGTCGTGTTTTTCATAATTCCGGCTCGAGCTCCTTTCGCTCGTGAAAACTCCGACCCCAGACGGCGAACGCGGGGGTTGTTGGAAAAAGAGGTCGGTATCCTGTCGGGGGTGTCGCTGGTGGATGTAGCCCGACACGGAAGGAAGCATGTCGCGACGGAAATCCCGGCGTCTTAGCGACGTCAAGACGCTAACAAACGGCGCATCGCGCGACGCCCGTCGACGATCCCTGTGTGCCGCGGTACGTGTGTAATACACACTGCGCAACGAGCCTTTGCGCGTCGCGACGCCTTCTTCGACGGGGGTCGAGCGTCTGCTGCAAGGGGGTTTTCAATGGTAGTTCGTCAAATGCTTCGTTGAGCTTCCGCGACGCGATTTATTGGAAGATTTTTATTCGGTTTCCGGTGCAAGGAAACTGCTTTGCAGCGGGGGACGCCACCCTCGACGAATTGGGAACGGTTATGGTTCCCGTTTTTAGCACTCGTTGCAAACTAGGGGTAACCTGCGCCAAATGGTATTCACAAGACACATAAAATATTCTGCAAGATTAAAATTTTAGTGTTAGATCATTGTGAACCGAATAACCTAAAATTTGTTCCAGTACTTATTCTTGTAACTTTGCTAAAAGCCACAAATCCTATCCAAATTTATTTCCCTGAACATTTCAACTCGAGAATTAATTTTTCTAGTTCCACAGTGGAAACCCTGTCACCCAATTCAATATTTGGACAAGTATGAACGAAGTATATTCTTTTTATAGTTATTTACTTTCCCCCAGTCGAATAGAAATGGCGTACTCCATGCCCCGAGGCGTACAGAAGAGAACAGGGGTAGTTTTGTTGAACTCGGTTCAGTGAAGTTTTAGTTAAAGTGTGAACGAAGATAAAATTGCCAAACAATGTTAAAATTTTATTTAATACTAAACATTACCGCCATGACATTCAGTAGAAATTGTTGAAACTTCTTTGGGTGCATAGTGTCAAAGAAAATGTCAAAATAAACATAGAAGATAGCATAAATTATAGTAGCTGGTGTAGTCATATGATAGAGGATGAAACACCCTTTAAAATGAGCGTTCGTACGACCCGATAGCGTAATTAGTTCCGGAGATATAGCGATTTTAGTTTCAAGTCGAGCGTCAAAGTAAAAGTCAAAATAAACATGGAAGATAGCATAAATAATAATAGTTTTTACATTCATCAGATAGGGGATGAAATACCCTTTAAAACGAGCGTTCGTACGACCCGATAGCGTGATTAGTTCCTGAGATATGAGGTTTTTAATTTCAAGTCGATGCGGTGGCTAGTTTTTGAGATATAAGGGTCCGAAGGGTTTGTTTACATTCATTGAGATGAATGGACTCGCGCGCGCGAAAATAGTAAACAGTGCGTAGTAAATTCTTGGAAATACTACGGAACTGGGTCACGACAGTCACGTACGCGGAAGTAGGTCAGCACGACGCACGTGCGACAAGGAGGTCCGACTCCGCTAGACGAAGACAGAGATAGTCGAATTAAAAAAATTACCATTTACATAAATTGCGATATCTCGGAAACGGATAGTCCGATCGTCAAAAACCAAAAGCCATCTTAAAGAGGAAGGTTTGCCGCCGCTGACAATGCCTTAATAATCAATAAAACACTAATAGTTTCGGAACTGCACGCGTCTAAAGTTTTGGTATTTTTAATACGCGTGAATAGGCTATTGTACGCGAGCCGGACAGTGAGACAGTCGAATTAAAAGAAATTACCTTTTACATAAATTGCGATATCTCGAAAACGGAAAGTCCGATCGACAAAAACCAAAAGCCATTTTAAAGGGGAGGCCTTGCCGCTTCTAACGATATCTGAATTATTGATAAAACGCTAGTAGTTTCGGCACTGTGCGCGTGTAAACTTTAACTATTTTTAATGCACGTTGTTAATGTACATGGGAAGCTAACCAGAATTTAATATTATATTTCATCCAACTTTTTACAATAAAATATAAATTGTTCAACCAGTCAACACATACTATATATTTTTCTGAGATAACAAACAATAAGAATAAAAGTGACTATTCAAAATTGTAAACAAAATTTAAAAAACGGTGTTGGCGAGTGGGAGGGGTCAAGGCCTCGTCGACAAGCGTCTCCCGAGGGACAGAATCGAATGAAAGGGCTGTCTCGTTCGTCTCCCGATGGGAACGGCTCTTTCATATCCGCGGTGGTGTAATCGTAACGGATTACTTTCCTCGTTAACTTTTTGCGTCCAGGTACTGCGGGTCTGAAACGAGGGGGGGGCCCAGGCGACACGGCCAATCCCGCGGAAATGAATCAGGATTACTTTTACGGCGCGTTTGAAAGTTCGCGACGAACGAGCCGAGGGGTTGAAAATCGAGGGGTTTGGGGGATCCGAGCCGGGTGAGTCTACGAGAGGTTGACGCGGAGTTCCGAGTGGCTGGAAATTAGCTTACTTAGACGGCAGACTGGAAATATTGGCAGATAAGCGATATAGCTGCCGACTAACCGATAAGGGATGGATAGACTTACCCTGTTCATATTGTGCTCGCGATGGAAACGCGGCTTATTGTAACGCTGAAGGGCCCCAGAATGAAGAGAAGATGTGCTCGTTAAGGTTAAATTGCAACTTCAGACGTTTCAACGGGTGTTTAATTAAAAAAATATATTCCCATTCCTGGTGAAAAAAATTGTTCCGGTCTTTCGGTGGATCGATGACACTACTATCGAGAGAAATGTTACCCTCGATCAATGTGTCAGAATTCACGGTTAGTATGACGGAAGAACGATCGTCTGAAAATCTGGCTCTCTTCCGTTCATTCGATTTGCCTAAGAAAATTGAATTTTTCCCATTTCCCCCGCGCGATTTTCCAATTCAAACCGGCCGGAAAATCGCACGGGGCAAACTTACGAGCAGACTCCCGAGTCCGTGGAAGCGAAACAACGCGACTTTCAATCCCCCTCCCGTTCGGCTTTGTGTAGTACACTGCTGTCGCTTCTCCGATTCTCCAAACTAAATTGCATTTACGGAACTCGGCGAAACTTTCGTTCGCTGTTCTCGCGACTATTTCTTCTTCAAACACACTACCGGGCCGATCGTGGCCGTCCTCCTGTTCCGCAGACGTCTTATTCGCAGTCTGTTTCCTGTTTCCGATCGATCCTCTCCATTCATTCCACGCGCGCCTCCGCCATTGCGAACGCAACGCGTCGTTTTCACGATTCTTAACAGAAATGAATTTTATTCATAGCAATTTTCCCAGAACTCCGGTTCCATAGGTTCCTCTGCAAGTAAAGTTTACCATTTTCTTTGTTCGAACACCACGATTTAAAGAAAATCACTCGATAAAAAATAGACTCGATGTTCCTTCTTAGCATTCTCGTGTTAAGGTTCAAAGTTTAAAGTTTTGAGGATGGTCTGGACGACCATAACCTTCCCTCGCGAGATGCAACGGGCGAAATTCACGCGAGAACACATCCTTTCTCCGGCACTTGTGCCCGTCGACGTTTCCGGGCGCAGAAAATTGGATTTCGTCGACGAGGGAAAAGCTTTTGTTCGGTTGGCCGCGCGGGAATCAATTTTTCGAGATCATCGCGGCCACGGGCCTCCCAGGAAACCTATTTGCTGGCTCCCAGGAAGCGTCGAAGGGTAGCGAACGAAGGGAGGAGAAACGAATTAGTCGGGCGTATCGTAAATTACAGCAGTTGCGAGCCGCTACCCGAGTTTCGCGTAATCAAAATTCGTTCGGGAACAAATATAAATAAACTCCATCGCGTATCGTCCATTTCGCGTACCAAACATCGATGAAACTCCAAACGATATCGCCAATTAACGACGAATAAACATTGCCCATACGCGAATAAAAATATCTCGTGTTATTGAACGACTTTAATTTCATTCCAAACTCTTCTCAAATTCAGATCTTCAAAACGCTTTTGTTTGATAGTCCAAACCCTGATCGAGGTCGCAAAAAATTTATTAGGGAAGTGAAAAATTGTATGCTCAAAGTATTTATTGTGAACCGATAGATAGCATTAAATTGACGATTCGAAGAAATCGCGCGACGTCTTGGGGAAATTGTCTCGAAAGGGAGCGGGGACAAAGATTGAAAGCTCGATTTTCTTTCGGGGCAGGCAGGCGAGGAACGAGGCGTTTTCGAGCTCGTTTTAATCTCGGGTTCTTTTCATTCGTTTTTCCAGCAAAGGAGCTGAAAATATGCGGCAGCGTGAGAAGCGGCGGAGAGGTCTGTTGCTCCGCGGACATGGAAGTGAGACTGCAGGCGAGGGCACGTGACAAACACGAGAAAGCCACCAAAGAAACTCTTCAGCGACTGCATCAGGTCCTGTCGACGAGAGGGGCCAGGTTTCACAGTGAGTACCTCCCTAGACTTTCACGATTTTAATCACTTCACGGCCAAGTCTGCGTGAAATTCTACCTCGGGACGTTTACACTGACAACGCGAGACGAGGGGGTGGGAGATGACGCGAATTCAACGTTTTCGCGTTATCACATTTAAACGAAGGCTTCTTCTTCATCTGGGTCCTTCCATAATTCGCGATTCAAACGTTTAACGAAGAGCAATTCGTCAAAAGGACCCATAACGAGAAAACAATTTTTATACGATAAGTCAAAACGCCTCAATAATCCCATCGACTTTTATTATCAAATGTATGCACCCGATCGATCTGATATTCCGCGACGTTTCTGGATCAACTGAACCGAATTCTAAGGGACTCATTGTCTCCGGGCAAGGTGTCAAACTCCTCTGCGTGGAGTTAACTCGATGAAGCTCGGTCGAATGCAAAACCGGAGCAACTGTTAATCAATTTCGCCGTTAAAACGAAGTTAGACACCAAGAGGAGAGCGACTAATCGGTTCACTGTTGAACAGAGCCCACCCCCATCCCAGACGACGACAGTTACGAAACAATCCCAGCTCGAAACGGGATGGAGAACGATAACCGCGAAAGAAACCGCCGCGTCGCTTCGCGCTCGAGGGAGGATCGACCATCCTCGTCAATTATGCCGCTTCCCGGTCACAAAAGGACTTTTCAGGGCGGTTTAATCGGCCGGACGTCCTCGACGACGGGAGAAACGAGATCTCTGGAGTAACCACGTGTCCGCGGAGGCTTTTCGCGTTGTTTTTCCTTCGTTAACGAAGGGGTGGCCCGCGGGGGTTGCGTCTAGTGGGTCCTCGAAGGCGTGTTGCGAAAGAAAAATCGCGCATTCCGTCTCAAACATAGCTAAACTCGAATTAGAAACAGAAAAGACCAAATTGCGCTAATCAACAAGTATGGAGTAGTTTCTAAAGACCACAAAATCCCCAATCGTCTGTAATCTTACATTCGATTTTACCTCACAAAGGTTAACGATGATATTCATTCGATTATCCGCGTCCCAATTAAGCAATCCGTAATTCGATTTCCGGTAATGGTAAATTAACGTCGTCGTCGTACTTTTATTTACTACGGGGAAGTTATTTGTCCGTGGGGCGGACGCTGAAAATATAGTAGCCCGTTTCAGGCCGGCGAAACAGTAATTTTGCTAATCCCTTAATCCCCATCCTCGGTTTTCCAACCGCGTAATCCTTGTTTGATGTCCTGCGCGCCGATCTCGTTACCTTCGGACTTTTTACTTACTCGTTCACGACGGCACAGCGTTCCCTAAAAGGATACGTCGAACTTTTATACGTAATGTCCGTTGTTTAACGATTATGACGAAGCGTGACAGCGTATGTCTCTGAGCGATCTCGAGCAAAATGCTGCAGGCTCGAATGGGAGCAAAATGCAGAATTTCCGGGCGTAGACGTAGAACAGAGGATTTGCATGACAATGGCGGTTCTAGCTTCCGAGTAGCCAGATTTGGGAAGGGGATGCATCCGACATGATACTCGAGTGCTCCATCTAGACGTTTAATAGGACTCAGACTACCGTAGACTTCAGGAAAATTACTCTGTCTCAACCTCAAAGTGTAGATCCATTAACCCCTTGTCGTACAATGACGAGTTTGACTCGTTATTATTTTTAGATTCACGAATTATCCATAAAACAAATCTATTCTTTTTCGTGGCTATTCCTTGCTCGATCAAATTTAAAGAAAATTAAATAGTACACGTTTGACAAATTGTTTGAAATTAAATCGTACGTCAAGAGGTTAAGCTTGAAAATCCAACTTGAATTGACAATGGTCCATCATGCTTGTCTATACAAATAAAATTAAAATAGGCAAAGAAACGAAGCAGGAGTGGGGATGAAAGGAGTTGCACTGCATCTGCGTTGCAAAGTCGCTGTATTAGAGACAATCGAACAGTTTTTGAAGGTTCGCGAAGCGGAAGAGACTTGGTTCGAGGAAGAAGAATCGTGGCTCGAGTGGACAGTCCTCCCCGATGGAAAGTTACGGGCTAATGAGTGAAACGGGGATGGAGTGCATTAAGGAGGCATCCCCAGTCACTTTGGCGATCGCCGCGAAAATTAGACGGCACCACGTTGGAAAACCTCAGGCTCCTAACGATTCTCATTAACAAAATTACTCGACGTAGCGCTAGTTCGCGCCACCAGACGCCCCGACGCCGTGCGTCGGTACCCTCGTTCGAGCTTCAATCTTTCCCGTGCCCTTTCCACCGACCACGGCTTCCTCTGACGGCCGCCGTGCTTCCCTTTGAGGTGCTACTGCCTAGCCGCATCCAGCTACGTACCCACTTTGCTTGCCACTCAACGCGTTAGAAGTACGGCGACAGAGAGCGAGAAAGGGTGGGGGGGTAGAAAGGGGGCGAAAAGTGGAGGACGGGGGCGGCTGATAGTGTGAAACAGGGAGCAAAAGGAAAAAGAGGACTGGGGAGCGAACGGGTAAAGTGGAAGACGGAGATGATAGAGGCAACCGAAAGAAAGTTGCGGATGCACCCGGGGGGGGAGGGATGAGAGGGGAATTATTAACTACCGACCCTTTCGAGACTTTCCAATCAACTTCGAACGATACACAAAGCAATTTCGAACTCGCGTTTCCATCCCCTCGCGACTCGACGGGGCTCCATTCTCCTCAGGATTTCAAATTTCATTCTCCGTACCTTTCACGGCGACTGGTCACGCTCGTGACTTCATCCTGTGAAATTGTTCTGTTCTTCAACGAATCGTTTCTGCTACAGGAAAGTTGATTTCCAAAAATCAACGTTAAGTAAAATAATTCGAGATCGAGGGTTAAAGTGACTCGTATCTCATTTGGTGGTTCCAACGATGTCAGAGATGGTTCCTGAAGGATTAGACGCGATGTGGTTCCGGGGTACGAAGGTACCCGCGAATTAAAAGCGCGACGCCCAGCTGTCGCGGCGCGCGAAGTGCTTCCTTCCCCTTTCGCGCGACGGCCTCGGTGCTTTTTGCCGGGCGTCGTCGACGTCGCCGACGATTCGTTACACAGAGGCCCTGGGTACCTGTTCTCCCCCGTCGTTAAAAGGAATTTTAATCACATTCTTCGCGGCTGAAGTGACGATAAGAACGGTGTTCCAGGGACGGGGGACGTCCGTGAGGTTACGCGTCGAGGGTGACGCGACCGCAATTGAGGGCTGGGGACGGGAAAAGCTGCCGCCATTGTAACCCAACCGACGCCACGGACCTTTCCTTCTTTCCTCGTTTTTCCCGCCGTCGTGGAAACTGATTGAGACACTTTGTCCCGGGAGACGCTTCCGTCTTGATTTTACTTTCCATTTGGACCACTATTGGGCGGACACAGAGATTTTAACCCCCCCAAATGCTCGACCTTTTCTGTCTTAAGGGCCCCACGATGTCTATTTACGACCAACATTCTTTTATAATAATTTTCCTCAAACCCCTTTCCCCTGTACATTTGTACAATTTTTTAAATACATGATACACCATCGTTACTTCAAATTGAAGTTCTATGTTCAAAGGGTGCTCTATCATTTGTATTTTATCGTTTTTTGTTGCCCTGAAATTCATCGTTTAACCCTTAAATGGATTGTTGGTACCACCACAGCCTTCTACAAGTTTAATTATTTGAAAATTTATGCAATCCTCCATTAGTTCATTATTTTTTAAATGCTTTAAAGGATAGTTATTTTTCATTTATCAATTTAGTAAAAATCAACATTAAGTAAAGAGATCTTCGCGATAAAACGGATTTAAATGAAGGGTTTTGAGGCGCGTGATGTCTTCCGAACCACCCCTAATCTATCTGACCATGTTACCCTCCGAAGCATATTCGAGACGAGACGAAAACTTCCCTTCCGTTTTTGCGAGCAGAGTTTCGGGATTCACGCGAACGAATTACGAAAGTTTCGTTCGCGCAGCTCCGTCGCGACGCTGTTACGCAAACTTCGGGCAACATGTTGGTACCGACGGTGGCGGGGTGTGAAAGTGGTTAATTAACGCTCGCAAATTGGATAGGAGTATCCGCGCAAAGCGTCTTACGCAAAACACCGTTAACGCGCGATCAGTCGTCCGAAAGAGGATCGAGGCTGTAATTGATTTGTAAATCTCGCGTTAATAGGGGTGTCCGCCCTAAGAGCGAATCGTACCATTTTCAGTTATCGCGAGACGGATATTCTCGCGACAATGAGACCTGCAATTAAGGGAATTACATTTTCCATCCATCGATGATGGGGATTAATTAATTTCGACGGAAATTTTAGAAAAAATCAAGAAAATAATTCTGTGGGAAAGCTGTGCTTCCCAGTCCAGTTTCTCATAGTCTCCCATTTTCAGTGACACGGTTTCTCTTCTTTCGCAGGTTTCTTTAAGGATCTCCTGGCGTCCAGCAAAAGGGTCTTTCACGACATGTTCAAAGTAACCTACGGGATTCTCTACGAGCAGAACTCGTACGTTTTCATGGATCTGTTTAAGGAATTGGAGAATTATTACGGCAAGGGGACGGTGAGTATCATTTATTCTCCCTTCGCGCGTCAATTTCAAACCGAACTCTCTTCAAAAACTGTAACCCCCTATCTGTAGTTCCTATTTACGTGGAAGGAGTCTGTCATTGGGGGAAACAAATTTGTTTAACAGCGACGAATAAAATTCCGCGATGAAATCAATAGCGACGTCCGAGGGACGCGATTTTTTAAAGTAGAATTTATCCTACGTGCCTACGTCCCCGGGCTTTCCCTTTTATCCCGCCGTTGCGGCTCGTACGACGAACTTTTGGAACGACAGACCCTCGTCCAGCCGAGTTTAACCGCGAGCAACGAGACTTCGTGATTGGGGGGTGGGTGGCAGGGGTCACGCGCGAAGGCGAGTTTAATCAATGCTTTTGACATACAACGATCGCGGCGTTTTCCGATAAAGGACTGCAAAATATCCAAGGGTCGATCCTTTGAGCCCACGAAGGTCATCCTCTGGTAAAACACTATCATTCGATCTTCGTCTAAGGATATAATTATCAGTCAGCCACTCGCGAAACGACCATTTTTCCTTTTGACACTTGAACTCTTACTTTATCGACGCAAATAATTTCCAGAGCAACGATCGATTCTATAACTTAAAACTTGTAGTACTTGCTTTCGTGATTTCACTAAAATTTACGAAACATTTTCGATTGAATGTTCGAGTAGACTATTGCGAGTAGTAGCAGGATCCCATTCAACAGAGACACGGGAATCGAACGGGCCATTACTATCCGTCATACGTGCAACGCCTACGGAATCACGAATCGCTTGGTCCACCGTGAAAACAAAAACGAGAAAAGAAGCAAAATAAAAAAAGAAGCAGCGAGAAAACGGGGGGCGGGCGGGGGGCACCGAGACGAGACATTTCGAGGGTCGATTGTCATTCAAATCGCCTCGAATTATTCACCGACGCCACTTGGACCTGTTCAGGATGGTACCCGGTGCGGGGTAGCTCGCACGAAAATGGCCCCCCGCATGAATATATTACCGTCGCGATCGCTGCTAGTCGTCGCGCGGACGGTAACGAATTTATATCGACGATATATCGTCGTCGCGCGTCATGGAATCGGACGATACGAATTTATCGAGAATTCGTTTCCTCTTCTATATTTCTCCTTTTTATATTCCCCGCCGTTTCGATAATACGCGCCCGTCGAATCGCAGGATTATTCCTTCGATCGGCGAATATTGGCCAGGAACCCGAATGGGGAAATCTCGTTTTTTGTTTTTCCTCCCCCCCCGTATCGTTTGATTAGCCCCCAGGTTTTACCGATTTGCACATCCCGGTTTCGAAGTTCCATCGATCTGTTAAGGAACTAAATTACTAGTCTGCTACCGACTCCCGAACCTACCGCTTTTAATCGAAGTTTTCGAGAGCACTGTAAAAAGTTTTCAATCTCCCTTCGAATTACAATACGACGAAGGGTGGAAACTGTTTCAGATCGTAACTCTTTTATCGACGAATAGTTTAACCCTTTGCAATAAAGAGGAGTGCAATGGTACTACGATTACAGGGCCATTATTTCTATTCACGATCGTGACGATGTCTCTGAACAATTTTTTGGACTTCCAATTGTTCTAGGTCGATCTGGACGACGTCATGGACAACTTCTTCAACATCCTCTACCAGAAGATGTTCACGGTGCTCAACAGCCAATACGACTTCGACGCCAAGTATCTGGAATGCGTCGGGGATCACATGAAAGAGATGAGACCTTTTGGCGACGTTCCCCAGAAACTTGGTGTTCAGATCAAGAGGTCCTTCGTCGCCACCAGGGCCTTCAACCAAGCACTGACCGTTGCCGCTGATATCGTGAAGAATATGCAGTCGGTGAGTCATTTAAACCAAGCAATTAACATGGGAGAACAAACGTCTATGTTGACTTAAGGGGGGAAGCCATTCTGACGGCTGAAAATAAAGGCAATTTTCAAGAATTTTTCTCCCCTAACTATGAAACTTTTTCTGATAAATGTTTAATGTGTTCGAAAGTACATATCTTGAGCTACTTCCTCTAAAAATTTCGTATAAGAATATTAATTATTATAGCCATAATAGGAACCAACGTGAGAGGCCTTCGAAAATTTGTTAGAATCGATCGAACGTGTAATTTTTCACTGCAAGAATGCAATTTTCTTAAACTATAAGACAGTAGAATATATATCCTCTTCTAGGCAAATTCTATTTTTTCAAAAACACATAGTTTGCCCATCCCGTTAAGTTTCTGACCAAGGTCTAATAACGAATCGATTCTCTGTGATCGTCGATCGGTTAGAAACAAATGTAATTTTTCACTGCAAGTTGTGAAGCAAGAACGCAATTTTCTTAAACTATAAAACAGTAGAATATATCCTCTTCTATGCGAATTCTATTTTTCAAAAACACATAATTTGCCCATCTCGTTTTCTGACCATGTCTAACGACGAATCGATTCTCAGTGACCGTTGATCGCGTCGATTTGAGGTTCGACGACGCCTGAACGTTTGTTAAATCGTTTTGTTTTCGCAGTTGAAACCGTCCGCGGAATGTGCAGCTGCTCTCACCAGGATGACAGTCTGTCCATCGTGCAGCGGGATAACCGGGACCGTGTTGGCGTGCGGCGACATGTGTGCCAACGTGATGAAGGGTTGCTTGGCCCAGCACGCGGCTCTGGACGCTGAATGGAATCACTTCGTCGGTGAGTAATTTCCCGTCCCATTGTTTCCATTGTAATTACAGGCTCGCCGGGGCACGATATGATCGCCTGGCATCGATACGCGTTGTCCGTTTTATTTATTGCCGGTCGCGTGAGAAAACCTCCGTAGCGTTCGCGGAGAGGGGCGCCGCGAAGGACTCGACGTTTCTCCAACCTTCGCTCCACGGGAATCCTTGGGACCCAGAACACGTTTTCTCGCTGTTTTCCTTTTTCTCTCGATCGACCACGGAAGGTTACAATTATTATAAATTGCGTGTGACTGCCGCACCATTAAACAAATTTAAGAAAAATAAGCTAAGGACACTTGAAAATCCACCCCTCGAAGATATCGAAAGATTTCTATATCGTTAACGTCGAAGATCATGGAATCCTCTGTCCCCCAATAAAATCATTCGGGCCAAATCTCGTGGCGTAATCTACCCTTCTGAAGGGAGGAGCTGACCGTTAATTCCCCTCGAATCTTCTTTAAATTTCAGAGGCCGTGGACAAAGTGGCGGACCGGCTGCTGGGCCCCTTCAACATCGAGATGCTGGTGCGACCCATCAACCTGAAAATCTCCGAGGCGATAATGAACTTCCAGGAGAACAGCCACGACGTTTCGCAGAGGGTGTTCACCGGTTGCGGGAAGCCTGTGCTGGGCAGACGCAGACGCAGAGACAATCGCGAGCTGGAGCTCGAGTCGCTGAATTTCGATCAGGAGACTGTCACGGAGGACCGTGCCTCCACCGCCGCTATCCTCGATAAGCTGGTGAAAGAGATACGACAGAGGGTCGGGGACTCCAGACAGTTTTGGGTGTATTTACCCTACAAGCTCTGCAACGATGGATTGGTGGTCCCACCCAGCAACACGAAGGAGTGCTGGAACGGCACCCACGTTGACAAGTGAGTCGATTTCTCTCAGCTGTTTCTACCTCAACGTGGTTTATTTTCAACTGCACAAGATTTACACCCCTTCCAATGTGATTCGTATTGTAATTTAACTTTTCTTAGCTGAATGAGTTCGATAGTATTATTCTAGCACTCATAAAAGTGTGACGAACGCTTCGTTTTTGCCGAGTTTTCCACCCATTTCATATTAGGAGCGAAAAGCGTGACACACGATGAAGGAGTGGATGTTGCATCTTGAAGCAGAATTGCAACATTACTTTTCCCTTCTACGTACAAACTCGTCCGCGCCTGCATAGACCAGTTCCTCTTTAGTAGTCACCATTAGCTTTCGTATGTTTCTCCTGTCCATCTTCTTGCTGGTATCATTAAAACAAATTGTTGGTCGATCATGGTCACAGCCACGTAGCGGCTCGATAAAACACTCAATCCTTCTTTGCTGTGTTAAGGTAAAAGACTCAATGCTTGAACCTTCCGCGGATGTAGCGCTATTAAATTTTTTTGAGTACACAAGTCAAAGAATAAAAGTACTTGGATAGGTCAAACAGTAGGAAATAGATAAAAAAAATGTTTTAAAGATTGTAGAAGTGACGACAAATATTACTATTGCTTAATGCTCTGTTCTGCTCAGCTAAGGCCACGTTTTGAATCTAGTTCTACGAGATGTAGGTCCCCGAAAGGGTACAGGGACACGTGTCTAACGATTTAATTGAATTAATGCTCTCCATTCTAGGTAATCCACCCTTTTAACCTCTTTAATCTTATACGGCGAGCATATGTTTGTAACTTGCCTGGAATTGACTGAAATTGAATAATTTAGGCCTAGGGTCGGTTAAAGATCCCACGTGCTGCTTTCCATATTCAACGCGTCCTATTCCGCCGCGGGAAAATTACGAATTACTATTTCGGGGGATAAATTAATACGCTTTTCATTGCTTATTTATGAAGCACGTAGGAATTTACATATTTCGCGAGCGCCACAGTTTCAGAATCGACGTTTAAATTTCTCGGGAAGATTATCTGTGCGCCATTAGCCCGTTTGTATGCGACCAGTCGACTCGACCTTCGATTAAAATTGCCACGACTGTAAAGAAAACTCGTACCTTCCCTGGATGAGCGCGAAATGATTCGGTATGCGAATGATTGCTCCGTAGTTTTCTCGTTTAATTACGAATCATCATCGCCTTATTGGCCGTGGCTCGAGAACTGGAGGCACCAGTTTTATAGAAAATGGTTTCGCTCGAAAGGGTGCCCTCTTTTAATTGGTCGAAGGAATCTTTATATCCACAAATTTGTACAATTTTATTATTTAAATTTGAGTCAACCTTTTTTCGAAAAGTGAAGAAAATCTCCACGTTGCTGTTTGCAGGTACATATACCCCGTGTCATCGAACGGAGAGACTCAGATACTGAATCCGGAAGTGCGGAGCACAGGACCTAGACCGACGATCGTCAGAGATCAGATCTACGCGTTGACGACCATCACGAGCAGACTCAAGTCCGCGTTCAATGGCCAGGACGTCGATTGGATAGACACAGGTACCTAATCAAGCACCCCTGAGATGGACAAAATTAATATCTAACATTTAGTTCACAGGAATTGAAAGAATATTTGACACTTATTGATTGATCATTTAAAACTAGATTTACAGTAAAGTTAACGTTATAAAAAGATAGATACAATACTGGTGAAAAGATTCTGCACGGTAATTCGTTCCATCCGGTCCAATATGGAGTCTATTTCGACCGAGGGTCGTAAAAAGTCAAGACCATACGCGAGGTTTAATTATCCAACCGGTGGAACGTTTTCATACACGCGTGTATTTCGCCGTGTATGCTCTTTCCATTAATGCAAACACGGATTCGTTGAATCTCCCATCGACGGCACACGGCGCGGTATGTATTTAGTTAAAACATATAGGCGCCATCGTGTAATCGGTAACAATGTACATTCGCCCCGTAAACGCGGATAGCTAATCGAATCCGGATAATGAGTTGATTAAATGGAAATGCCAGTTTGTACAACGAACTCAATGCATCTTTCGCGTCTGCCGTAATTGGGCGCATTTATCGTTCGGCAATTAACGATCAACCGTTTTGATTCTTCGTCGAATACCAATTTGTTTCGTTTCTCGTGCTCCCTATCTCGCCGAACGTGCAATCAGAATGTTCATTAAATATCTGACGAACATATCGAACGAAAATTAAATACAAAAGCGTAAAAGCAAACAAAATTAACATCACCTTGATTTCTTTTTTTTTTGGTGATCTTTGTATCTTCTTTAATTCTTTGCACTCCGAATTATATTTGAATTTCGTTACCAAGCAGCTTCCAACGCTTTTTAGTGTTTTATTTGAAACTTACGTTAGCTAAAAAGTAGGGGAAATTTAAACAAATTCAATTAGATATCTGTTTTATTTACGTTATTGTTGTATTTTTTAAGTTTCAAGTGTATGATATCTCCGTGGTTTGGATTTGAAAAAATATTGATAAAGAAGCTCCTGAGATAAAAATTGATATCGAGTCACACTCGACATAGGTGTGCAAAGGGTTAAGAAAGTATTAGAGATCCCAAAAATTGAATTGTTCAGGAGTAATTAATTTTGTCTCGACCTCCCATCATACTCACTATGCAACGTCTCCATCGTAAAAATCTCAGAGTTTAGGCAGACTGACTGGAATATCAGAGTTTCTTTTTGTACCATCGTCGGGTCCACTCTCCTTTCAAACCAGTTATCAACCTCGAGCGGAATTCTTTTTGCCTCCGACAAATTTAGAACTAGGTTTCTCTTCCACGGTCTTGACGGATCCTTCGTGCTCTGAATTTCAGAGGAGACGGTCTGGACTGGTTCTGGGAGCGGTTCCGGGGACGGTACGGACGAGGACAGTCCTCTGACCGACGACGAGGACGGTTTCAAGGAGGGTTCCGGGTACGAGCCGAAGTCGTCGCCGCCGGAAACGCCGAAGCAGTCCCAGCCGCCTGTGCACCCGGAAGTCGTTCCGCCGCGGGTCGACAACGTCCCGAATACCGTGAACAACAACAACAACGGCACCTCGACCGCGGACAGCGGCGCGAGCAGACAGAAGATGTCGTTGTCGCGTGCCCTTACGACGTACCTCGTACCCATCGTGGTTATGTGGTTCGGTGGCTGCCTCACCGAGTGGCTGTGATCGTGTGGTTACTCAGGACAACTTGCCGCGATGTAAATAGAATTCCTTCCGACCGTCGCGTCCTCCGCGAGGACGACGTCCTTTCCCCCGTCGACGACCCCATGGGTTCCCCGCCAAGGGCGTCGATCGGGGCACGCGTTCACCAGGATGCTTCACAGGGACGTTGCGTCCCGTGGATGTTGGCCAAGAGCCATTCGAGAAGACTGGACTCGTCGTTAGCCAATCGAGAAGGGGGGAGAGGGGGCAGGGAACTGATTTTCGAAACATTTCACGACCGACGAGCGGCATGTTCATCGTTGTTTAGGACTCGAGAGGCGTTCCCCCGCTTCCCTGCGCCCGTTGCACCTTTTTTGGGGCTTGGGAGGACCTCCTGTACCTCCCACCGGTACCCCCCCCACTCCCCCAAAAAATGTTAACTATTGTCCTGCAAAAGTAGATTGAATTCCCTGGGAAAGGTACGTTCAGTTCTTCGAGAGAGTCGTTTCAACCCTCCGTTGCATCTTATTTATACTGCAATTAAATCTTGAGCAGCTGAGCCATACACGGAGATGGTAAATAAATTCGAATCTGTGGATCCAAGAAGCTATGAATATTACTTTTACGAATGATCGACTTCCTTCTTGATCAATTTAATAATTCAATCAATTATAAAAGAAAGGAAACAGAAAATTGCAAGAACTTTTTATTTTAATTTAATTTGCAGGAATTGTTTTTACGAGGGTCGAACACCCGATGCAATAGGGGGTTAGAGGGTCCATCGGGGATGCTTGTTGCGGAATCGAGGACTCGCGATTCCAGCGTGTGCGACGTGCTGGCGAGCATCTGTTGCTCCCTTCGGTTATCGGGGAACGATTAGGGGGTGTTTACAGTGGCGTGGGCGAAGCGAAAACTGGACGACGGAGGGTCTCGAGGGCATCGAATATACGTAAAGACGGGAACCGAGTATACGAGAGGCACAAGGACTGATTATCGAGCGTCGTGTTTCCTTTCCAGCCGCCTCCGCGGAACGCGAACGTTTGAAAGATTCATGGCTCGAAGGGAGAAAGGGTTCGATCGACGAACGAGGAGAGAATTTAGTAGAACGTAGGGATCTCGATTGCACCCGGGACGACCAGTCGAAATTGCGTTTATTTTTACTGGAAGCCCCACGGGAATGATAATCCCTTATTTTTTATTCGTGTCGGTGTCGTTCACATCAACTGCCACTACGTACGAGATTTGAATTTCGACCCTTTGCGACTCTTTTGGGAAATTACATTTTCCAAATTGGAGTTCGCGTTGCCATAAATGTAACCTTGATTCGGTGCAAAGGGGGGTCGATTTGCACACGTATTTCGGGGGCCGCGTTAATCGTGTACGAGCTACGTCTCGATTTTAGGTTTTTATTTTAAAACGAAGATCTTTGGTTGTCGTTCGGGTGGAAAGTTTTTGTAACAGTTTAAGGGAGTTTTGGGAAGGATTGATCCGGGGTGAGGATGTAAATACGGGGAGTGGCGCACGATAAAAGGGCGATGCACGATGAAAATTCGATCGACGATCGCGCTACCAATTAGATCCCTCCGATTTGTCTTCACGCCGATACCGGACGGTAGGAATCGAACTCTGACGATTTATCAACGCAGACGGAACATCTATTTCGTCCATCGACCCGACGATTTTATCGTTCGCCACTCCGTTGCGTTGTTCCAGCGACGGTGTGTCGATGCGTGGCGCCGGGACGCGGTCGAAAATGGGCTCCTGTGATAAAATAAAATAAAAAAAAAATTCCAAAAAAAAGAAATAATAATAAAACCGAAACTTGGGAAAAAAAGAAGGCGCCTTCACATCCTGGCGACGTCGAGCCTAAACGCGGGCGAAAACAGAGACATTCTACAAATCTAGTGAAATATTCAAATAAATATTACGAATAATTAATTATTTGTAATTATATTATTATATATATATTATTATTATAAAGTGAAATTAATATAAAAATTGTACGTTGCGTTCGAGATAATGCTGCCGTGATACATATATGATGGACGCCATCGACGAGAGGCCAGAGACGGGCTAAATGATCACCGAAATAAACGATTCGAATAATAAATGAAAATTACACGATCTTCTCGATCCTCTCGGACCTGGACTCTAGGCTCTAGTTTTTAAATAAACTTACTAACAATATTGAAAGTAGTTTGGAACAAATTGCAAATATGTTGGAGATTATTAACAACAAAATTAGTCCTGTTTATTATTCGAATAAAATTTCGCCCTTCTCTGGGTGAAGCCGTCCTTGGAAGATCTTCGTCGGAGAGGAAAGATGGTTAACGCTGTTAGGCGTGCACGAGTCGAATAGAATACTTTGGATGGGTTGAACGTCCCGATTACGGTGATCATTATCGTTGCCATATATATGTATACAATAAATTTTGCAACGTTGAAAACACTATCACCCTCTGAACATTTTCTAAACAGTTCAGACATAGTTTATCGCGACGTTCAACCGGAAGTCTCCTCGCTTTAGCTCTTCCAAAAATAAATGGTCATTGAGAATTTTTTTCTTCAAAAAAATAGAAATTGAATCTCTCAGAAATGTAACACGCAGTTTTGTCGACTATTTGACGAGATTGCAGAATTTTCATCATTCTGGGACTTCTAAAGCGAGAAGACCTCTTGAAGAGCAAAACTTAATGGAAATGGCGATTGGGAACAGGGTTTTTTTTACTGCGGAAGCATTGAAACACGTCAGAATTGAACAACCGTGTCTTAACAGCCTCGTCGAATCAACGCAACTTATTGCTAAACTCGTGATTTTTTTTTTTTACGAATCGATCGTCCTTTGGGCCGGGACAGTCGACGAAACTTTAACCCTTTATTGTATAATTCGTTTTTTTTTATTCTGCTGGCGACGTTCAAAGCCATTCGAGTCCCACGATCGATGACAATTGATGACTGAAAGCCCAAGTGGCGCGAGTTCTCAACGACAGGAACAAAAGATCGATGCAATTGGAGGATCGTAATTAATTTCTGAATGGGAAAAAATAAAAAGAGTAGCTAGAATGTTAATCAAGTACTCTGACGAGGTGTAGTGCACTCGATGATGATGTATAAATGAAAGGACTTGTTTTCGACTCTGTGAATAATTTCAAATTATCCGTGCAATCGTAATTGTAATCGAGAAGTCGGAAATACGACATTTAGGGAAGTCGAATAGTCTCTCGAAGTCTCTGCAATTGTTGTAATTTGTAAAAATTGACCATGGACTCGCGCCACTTGAAATTTGGACTCCAAAAAGCGCAGAGCTGGGCAAATTTTATTTCCGTTTCATTTGTAATCGAATTGTAAAACTAAAATTTGTATTCGTTATTATTGACTCAAGGTTAGGTTAATGACAACATGTAGCTGTACCAATATGATCCATAAATCTCTTCGTTTCCTTTCATTGAAAATTCAAACGCAGTTCCCTCAACCATTATATTGAAAAAATAATATAGTTATTTATAAGAACCTCGTATAAAAATGATACTGGAGAAATAACGAGAAGACTTATGGATCATTCTAGTACCACGCCTTTGTACCTAATGTATACCTATGTTTATAATTTCTTCTATTCGCTTAATTCTAATTCCTTAATGTTTACAAGTTTGGTACAATAAAGACATTATTATTATTGTTGTTATCCTTATTATTATCATCATCATCATCGTTGTTGCTTGGAAATAAAATTTGTCCACGTGATATAGATTATGGTTTAGGGTTGGTCGAGCACCCTCTGTACGTAATAAATACATAAAAATGCGCCAGAGTTGCCAAAACTTACGGTGGCTGGGAGTGTGTTGTGTGTGCAATCGATAGTCGATCGGTTTTTCTTCGACTTTTTCCTTTTTTTATCGCGGTACACCGGTCCAAAATGAAAATTGTATTTGCGAACATTTCCACTTATAATTGTAGCAACAATCTATTACGTCTTTCTGAGAAAAAACTAATGGAACGTTCGATTCAAAGAAGTTTCCAGGACACGAAATTTATGGAGAATGAAATCATTGTTGATATTTGTGCCTGACGATTACTCCTGCGTAGCTCACCGGTCTACCCCAAGAGTTGGGTGAAATTTTATTCGACAGATAACCAATAAAACGAACCTATAGCAATTTACTCGTGACCCTCATTCGATCGAGCAGCCCAATTACCATCTGTTCGTCGCGAAGATTTATTTTTCACCCAACGAGAATGAATAATAATTTTTATTTAAATAAGAATCTTGCCCATCTCTTGTCCATCCTGACTTTCGATGGGGATTGCAAGTGCTTCGTGTAAACAAGAACTCCAATCGTTTATCGAAATATTGTTAAAATGCTTGGTTAACCCTTCGCCTTCGTGAGTGTCTTTTAATTAATTTAGATTTACGAGAGTCAAAGAACGAGTCTATAACTTCGAATTGGCCTGTTTAAAATGGATATCATGAACATCGTGATACGACTTGTTTGCTCGAAGTCCAAGTCGAGCAATGGAGGCTGATATTATGCTTACAGCCTTCGCCGTGCACATTGTCTTCTGCTGAATGAGACAAGCTCGCCTGCCTTTCTCCACGCTGAACAAACAGCTGAAGACAAAGGCAGTCTTTGCGTTGCAAAGCTTTTGTTTGTCGCAGTCTGAGCGTGGTCTAAAACGCCAGCGGATACCTCCGCATAGATGCTTGAATGGCCATCAATGCCCATCATTCTGATCTCGGACATTTAAATGGGCACTAGCCTACGTAATTCTCTCTATATCTATATATATCAAGCCGCCATCAACGCCAGGTTTGTAAGGGGGTAGTTCGTTATTTCCAACGCTAGAGGGCGCTCATTTTTTTCGACCTGAAACCCTCTGGTGTTAAAACGCCCAAGTTTGTCGTCAAATAGTTCGTCATGAGCGCCATGATATAGATATACACTGAATTAGGTATTATATTTTCGCGTTTGGGATAAGGGGCAAAGTAAAGGGACAATTAAGTAGGCATAAATGCATAGTAAAAAGCTTTAGGCACTGTTTATTAATTAGATTGACGTACATGTAGTCTTAAATTAATGTGTATTATGCCTAACGCGATGTGAAGCCATGTACTTGCTAAAAGAGTATATTATAAGAGTATATTACAATACAGACGCAACAATATTGGGTTTATAATTATGTACTCTGTATTTGAACATGTTCTTTCCGTCAGTACAATCGGTGCTTATTATTACATATTCTAAACAGTAAAGGAAATATGTAGAATCATATTAACTACATATTGCACAATGAATATTGTATAAGGAACATTAAACCTACTCGGGGCTCTCTGCTAACCCGCACACGTGTTGTATTGGGGGTAACAACGGAACAATAGCAACACTCGTTGCTTCTTCCCAACACTCTGCACGCTGCATGGTAGCAGAGGCCCGCCACGTTATCGTTCCCCACTCCCCGAAAATGGGACTTAGTTTTCTAGCTACATTGGTCGCAATGGCGTCGATCCAAATGATCGTCAGCGAACGGGGGGTAGGTGGTCTACATGACCTCTGTGTACCAAGGGAAATTGTACAAACCGACATAAACTGAACTCTCGATAACAATTGTACAATTGATAAAGAACAACGATCCTCTGAACCCAGAAGAAATGTAGCATTATTGATAGTGACATTGCAGTTGTCCAATTCTTATTAACACATTACCGACCGATAGCCTATTAATCGACTTTTTTACCGGCCAACACTTACCGACCGATAGCGTATTAATAAACTTTTTTACCGACCAACGCTTACCGACCGATAGCCGATTAATCAACCGCTACCGGCCGGTAAAGTGTTAACAATTGTACAATTGATAAAGAACAACGATCCTCTGAACCCAGAGGAAATGTACCATTATTGATAGTGACATTGCAGTTGTCCAATCCTTATTAACAATTGTACGATTGCTAAAGAACAACGATCCTCTGAACCCAGAGGAAATGTACCATTATTGATAGTGGCATTGCAATTGTCAAATTTTTATTAAGAAGCACATGGGTACCCGTGTATTTAGATGTACGCGAAATAGGAACCTCTATTAAATATTGACTGGAAGACGGGTGTTACCCCTATCTGTAACTCGCGTCATCGAATCACGAGCGAGTTTCGTTTTCTCTTCGTGACGAAGCTCGAGCTTCTGGTGGACTTTGCAAGGTCCAGGAACTGGCTCTCCTCGGTCTTGCGGAGGGAGGACATCCTGGAGGCGGCGGTCGCGCTGCGTGTGACGATTCTCGGGGTCGATAGTTCACCGAAAATACAGCCAATTGACGGTACGCGTCGCTTGGTCGTCGGGCGACGTCGACGTCGGTAGTTCCTCAGCTGCTTCGCCGACTCTGACCATTTCCATGCATAATAGAAGTCCACGATATCCTTCTGCAAAATTGTTGATAGTTCCAAATTTCACACAGTTAATCTTTGAAACTTAAATCTACTTTGTTCAAATGGCCTAAAACTTACGGTGTCCTTCCGGGGCAGTAGATCCTTCTGGATCTTCGCAAAGTTCTTTCCGTGTCTGACGATCCCTTGGATGAACAGTTCCTGGAAAATAGCACCGTGTAATAATTTCATAATTTTGTTGGGTAGAGGAATATATGGTGTAGGCTTACGATTTCTTCGCTGGTCCATCTCGCTACCAGTTTTCGTGGCAACTCTTTCGTGAGGACGGTCTTCAGGGCGACTTCCGGTATATATTCCGAGTCGTGTAGGATGTCGGTGATGTATTGTTCCGCGTAACCGGTGCAGGAGTTCTCCATGGCTTCTCGATTGGAGATACCATGTTTTTCTTGGACGAACGTGAGAACGGAACGAGCCATGAAGACGTAAAGTGGAACCCATTCGTTCACCTCCTCCCTCGGGCTCCAGATCTTCTCCTCTGGGAAGTCTCTGTAATCGACGTCCAGATTGATCTGTCCTCGACACTCTGGGATATCGGCGATCCCCTTCAAATACCTCTGAGGATCAAAAAAAATACATTCACCGTGATTTTCTTGATCGAAGACGAGTCCTCTGTCTCTGGTTCCTTAAAAAAATATTTACGAGGGTCGTCTGAAAAGTCTTGATCATTCTGGTAGAATGGTACATGCTTTGACAAGTATCTGTGAAAATTTCAGCAATTTTGTACGCTCAGTTGTTGTTTGCCAGTCGGTGTCAGTATTTTTTTAAAGATAGACCAGCTCACACTTTGGTGGTCGCCAAAAATTCACGAATTGCATTTCAAATTGATTGTCCACGCATTGTGTTCACCAGATCTGACCCCAAGCGATATTTTTCTCTTAAAATATCGCTTGGAGAACAGAGATCTCTATCGAACGAGATCATCGCGAACGTCAATGCCTTTGCAGGGCAAGACTACTATTTAGAAGGGTTGAAAGTGTTACATTGACTTAAGAGAAGACTATGTTGAAAAATAAAGCTATATTCAACCAGAAAAATGTTGGATGACCAACACGACCAAACAAACACCACTCCGTCACCTCGCAAACATTACACATCCAAAACATCCTAGTACAGATTTCTAATCCTTACTCATCCTGAACCTCGTACCCTTCCTGAGTCACACTATCCCTTGATCATCGTCCCTACCCCTACCCATCTCTACCAATAACTTATAAACGCCTGCAATACCGAAAAACAGACAGAAAGAGTCTAGTCTTCAGTCGACGTAATAGTTGTACGAGTTTCTTCTCTTCAATAAAGTGTTGGAATCCAACAAAAATACTTGTTTCTATATTAAACTCGAAGCTTTTAAAACAACCCTCGTATACGTATCCTAGTCGCTGATGAGAACGATGGCTCGTTGCTAGAGAAACACTCTAAAGTCTGTAAAAGCTAGAAATATGCCCATTTGATTATTAAAAAATTGACTGACAAACCTCGTTCGTGATTTCAGGCTCGTAGCCCATGGTGCAGCTCAAAGTGACCTTTCCTTCAGCCTCGTGAACGCCCATTAAGCCTTTTTCCAGGTGTGGACGATGCTTCCAAGGCAGGGGGCCCCCGTATGATCAGGTTAATCTTCGTGCCAGGTTTATATGACCCGCAACAACCACCCTTCAGAAAGAGGGTAGTCAATTCCCTCTCGCTTTCTCTCTCTAAGGACCTTTTGCAAGAAAGGTACATCATTGGTCACTTTCCGGAAACCACGCCTTCGAAATGGTTTCACTTCCTTTACGATTATCGTGCAATTTCTACGGAATTCAGATTCCAACGCCTGCAGAATTCTCTCTATTTTCGAACTGTAGAAATCGATCTAGGTGTCCCAATTAATAGAGTAGAACTACACGATAATTTCGTAAATTCGTGATTATTGTTTACTGTTGCATGCAGTCAATAATAATACAGATTAATATTATAAAAATTCTGTACGAATCTAAAGATCGATCTACGTGTTCCAATTAATAGAGTAGAACTGCACGATAACGAATAAACGAGTAAAAAATATCTTCGTGACTTGATGCTTACTCTTGCATGCAGTCAATAATACTAATAAAACTACAAATTTATATTATAAAAATTCTTGTACGAATCTAAAAATCGATCTACGTGTCCCAATTAATAGAGTAGAACTGCACGATAATTTCGTAAATTCGTGATTTGATGTTTACTGTTGCATGCAGTCAATAATAATACAGATTTATATTATAAAAATTCTGTACGAATCTAAAGATCGATCTACGTGTTCCAATTAATAGAGTAGAACTGCACGATAACGAATAAACGAGTAAAATATCTCCGTGACCTGATGCTTACTCTTATATGCAGTTAATAATACTAATAATACTACAGATTTATATTATAAAAATTCTGTACAAATCTAGAGATTGATCTACGTATTCTAATCAATAGATTCGTACAGAATTTTAATTATATAAATCTGTAGTATTATTCTTGAGTGCATGCAACAGTGAGCATCAAGTCGCGAAGATATTTTACTCGATTACTCGTTATCGTGCACTTCTTTATAGATTATATCGATGATCCGCGATTCCACGTGCACCATCTGCTTAGAACTCGATGATCTTTGTTGCAATTATCAGTTACTAGATTCTCAGATTATTTATAATCATGATAAAGTCTTCTACTTCCATTCTATCATCATTTGCATGCTTCGAGAATGATAGAACATTTGTGAATTATCATATTCTATATTAATTTAGCGTAGATCTTTAACGTTTCTTCATAAAATGAACTCCATTAGAGATTTTAATTTTCAGAGGCTCTGCAAGATATTCAACTTGGATAAACCTTTATAAATAGTTATATTCTCGCGAAATACTCACCCTTCTGAGGAAGATGGACGCCAGATGAAGCGAGAACCCCGTACCGAAATCTCGCTGAGACGCGAAGTCACGTACTCCAAAGAAATAATAAATTTCGATCGAAATGACGAACAGAACCGCGATCTTTTGTCGTAAATTTCGCTGATCTTTCAATTCCTCCGCGAAGAGATCCGAAGTTTCTTTCGGGACGCGGCACGCAATGTCGAAACTGAAAATCGCGTACGTGAGAGCAATTTCACCGTGATTCGCCTAACCACACGAGTCCCAGAAGAAAACTAAACGGAACAACGGAGAGCTCTGACGAGAGGCACCGTGTCAATTCGTGAGATAAGATAAGCACAGAGGATACGTCGTCCACAATGACCCGAGGATTTTCTGAAATTTCCTTATGGGGCTCATGGGAGTTACTCGATCAAATAACTCCCATCGAACTGTACCAAATCTTTCCCCTTTTCGCGGAAAATCCAATTTTCTTCCAATGGTATTTAAAAGACTATTTTTACTATCTAATGTTTATGCTTGTACAGATAACGCTGCTTCAGAAATTATTGAAAGCTCGATGATCGAACGATAGCGCATTATACAAGACTGAATCTTCCCTTTCGCGTTTTAGTTTACAGATTACATCGACTAATTTAAGTACAATTTTTAATTTGTCGCAGGTTGCTTTGGGAAGTAATTTTGTGAGGTGAAAGAACACACCAATTATTAACGTAAGGAAATAATAATTCCCTATTTCAGCTTACACAAAATTACTCTTGGAAGTAACCGTTTAATTACCACTATTATCATTATAGGTGTACGAAGCTGGTGTCTTTTCTTTATATATCTACTGTTTACATTTATACAGATACTGGTGCTTGGAACAAGTACAAAAGAATTTGGCGATCGAACGAGGGTATGTTTTAATGAACTAGAGGGTTACAGGAATATACGTGTTAAAATTAGGACGAGAATCTCGATAACTTAAGGCTCCTAAACGCTTAAAGACTAGACGATAAAAATAAAGCCAAAGGTGGTTCTATTTCATTTTTCTTTTCTTTCTCCGTACTGTTTCCTTTGTTTTCGTGAATCGTTATCGCGAAAGGTTTCGAGCCCTCCAGATGAGTCACGGTGTTTGTACAAAGATCGTTTTCATTTTCGACGTTCTGCGAACCGACCATGTCACCGCACGAAAATAATACTGTAGACTGCAGTATAAGGAACGCTCGCTATTACGTGGTAAACAGTTACTGAAACGTGCACAGAAATCCCTCTTGCATCACTGACGCAGCTCTCGGATATAAACGCACGAGTACGGATCAAATTATCAAAATGGATCTCTTCATAAATTTCAACAGCCTTTTTAAATAGGATCAAGGGGTAAGACCACTGTAAAAACCTGAAATAATATTCCAGAATGTTATTAACAAATATATAAAATTTGTATCTGGAAAAAGACAAGAAATTTTCTCTTAATCTACACGAGTATAGCTAGAGAAATACGAAATTTTAACATTATTTATTGACAAATGATTGCCCCATTTTTTTTACAAAATTGAACTTTCCACTTCAAATGCTCGCCAATCACACAAAAATTAATGTTTCAAAAATCCCCTACGTATTTCTCTAATTATACTCCTGTAGATCGAGAGAAAATTTTTTGTTTTTTTTCCAGATACAAATTAGCGAAAATTCAGGTTTTTGCAGTGGTCTTGCTCCTTAAAAACAAACAGAGATTTTCCGAAACAGTCTTCGATAAATTGTTTTCCAGTTTCTTGGACTCTTTTCGCTCTTTTCGCTGGAGTTTTCCGAGAACTCGTTGTGCACCTGAAATACACGATGATGTAGGTCAGTTATTGTTGCACAGGTAAAGGAAAGGTCGGCTTCGTTAGGCACGAAGCACACAGGCGCAGTGTGGGTTACAGACACACGTGAATGCGTTGTAAATACAAGTTTATCGTGGCAAATTGTCTACGTACACGCGTATACAAGGATCACGGGCAAAGTGCAAACTTACAAGCCGAGACGCATTCGTTGCGAAACTCATCTTTACAAAAATTTCTACCGTGTGGACGATAATGAATGTAAAAATGAGGTTGCCTTTACAGCCGTTAATACATTTATATAAAACGAAATATATATATACTTAACGAAATTTAATCGAGTACGAAAATGTACAGCTAATTAAATTAGGACGGTCCACGAGTTCTTTCGTTTTGCCTATCATTTTTTATGGACTTTTCTAATCGATTAAATTCATTCCATTAATTAATAATACAAACTCATTATATTATACAAAGTGTTCGGCAACGTAGGGAAAAATTTTAATGGGAGATTCTAGGGGCCAAAATAAGACGAAAATCAAGAATAGCAATTTGTTGATCGAGGCTTCGTTAAAAAGTTATTAACAATTGAATTAAAAGATTTGAAATCGTTCTGGAAAAATTATTTTCGGATGAGGGGGTCAATTATAATCATTTTTGGTGAATAGACATACCTCCTAAATCCTACCCACTTTCTAGAAAAAAATTCAAGAAGATATGAAATTTTTGGCAAAAAAAAAAATTTTTCAAATCGTTTTGGAAAAATTATTTTCGGTTGCGGGGGTCAATTACAAGCATTTTTTATGAATACACATACCTCCGAAATCCTACGTATTTTCGAGATAAAAATTCAGTACGAACGGAACTTTATATGTTAATAACTTTTTAACGAAGCCTCCATCAACAAATTGCTATTCTTGATTTTCGTCTTATTTTGGCCCCTAGAATCTCCCGTTAAAATTTTTCCCTACGATGTCGAACACCTTATATATTTTTTAATGTAATATGTCGACGTCGAACTATCTTTATTCATTGTAATTTGCGATGTAATTTTCAATGAAAAAGAAAATAACGAAAACTGATGGGCCATCCTAGCTGTAATCGGTGTATCGATCGAAAGTAGGAAGCATTTTGTTCGTGTAAACGAGAACGAAATAATAGATTATATTGTACAGTCGATTACGAAACGATCGACGTTTGGTACGGGCTGCAGCATGGACAATCAAAGTGAATGATTTTTTTTTCCTTTAAATTTACAGACACAATCGTGTATTTATAGTCGTTTATACAGGATTTATATCTTTATAATACCCAACGGACCGGACGCGTTAATTAGCGTTTCGAATGGATAATAAAAGTACCTGTTTCTTTATTTCGTGCCACGTTCGCGTGCAACATAAATTATAAATCAGTGTAAGTGCTTTTCGATTGAAAATGAAATCATTACGATGATTATTGCACAGCCATCAAGTAATAAATAGAGCTCGTAATAATTTCGAGTGCACGTGAAACAGTTTCCCTTTTTTATTATGCAAGATACAACGCATCCGACTCGGTATCGTTCGATAAATCGAGTACGTGTCTTTTTCACCATTCGACGTATCATTTGTATTATTTGTCAAACGTGTATGTATTAACGTCGAGTATTTCATGAAACGTGTACACCGAGTGAAACGAACAGGATTCGCAGTCCATTCGACTGGACGTCGCGAATGGTAAAAGATAAAGCTACAGTGCTAAATGTTGATCGTTACTCAACAAGTGCAAGCCGTGTCACGATATCGGTACACGTCCGTTCGCGTGTACCGATATACGATATTATAACCAATATATAATACAGGTTAAGAGAGAACAGACTGTCGAGAATTCCTCCGAAGTTCGGGATCGAAAGAATACCCGTTTGTCCTCCCACGAGAAGAAGACACAGCTTCTTTACATCCCCACTCTTGCTGCAGCCCGCTGATTGGCTGTCACCGTACTTCGTCACCGTTTTCGACCAATACCTGTGAGTCAGCGGACTGCAACAGGAGGTGGAGATCTAAACACGACGAGTTTTCTTCTCGTGGAAGAATGGTACTTTCTGTACAAACTAGAACATCGCTTTTCCATCTGGACAGGGATATCATCGCAAACAATTTTCACATTATGAATAAATCGTACACAAAATACATGTCCGGTCAGATAAAACTTGTCACGGTTACCCTACTTCTCGGTAATACGTAGCGACAACACGATACAAAGCTTCGGGGATAATTAAAACATTTAATAAATTCCTGAGTGAAAAAATGAGAGTTTTCGAGTATGCGTCCCAGCGCAATTGGCAGTATTGATCTACTGATACATTTCTAGAAATCTCGTTATCACTTTTAAGGGGGTACGACATTACGACAGGCTAAAAAATAAGTCATTTTCCATCGTAACACGAAAAAAAATTAAAATAGCGCACATCAATTTGGTAAAACACAGACCTATACGACTTTATTACGATACATAACAGAACAAACGAAACATAATCTCAACTCGGTTGTCTTTAAAGTGTGAAAATATTTACTACAATTATTATAGTTTGATATGCCATTTTGTAGACACATCGCTTCAACTTGATACAACCATTATTTGCGTCATAGTTTTGTTACTAATTAGCTCGCGTTTCTCATTAGCCCAGACGGAGCGACTCTACGTGATTGGGTATACCGTTTTGGACAAAACTTGTACGATTTCGAGGGAGACAAATGGACAAATACTTGACATAAAAATGATCAAAAGCTACCGTGTTCTGTAGTAACCCCTTAAATCTCGCTTTGTTGAAAACGGAATGTTCAGATCGTGATTGTATCCCTGTCCAATATTTTGGTTGACCTAACGCTAGAGGGAGGGGGAATTTGTATATCTGTACAATGTTGTGGCTCAGTCTCGTCTGCGCCATGTGAATTTCGCTCTTTGACTCGTCGTTTCGACGGCCACTGGCGGCGGATGTGAATACGGGCAAGCCGGTTTGGTGCAGAACGGATGATACTTGCACTGTTGAGCGGGATGTGAAAACACGCATCCCAACTTGGTGCACGATAAGCCGAATTTGCATTTCGGGTGTTTGTAAGCGCACTTGTCTCCGAATTTACACGCAGGAAACGCACTGCAACGAAAACAAAATAATTAAACGACTGCGATACGGGGGCGGTATTAAATCTATCGGATAAATAAACAACCTGCACATAACGAGCGGATGAAGATACGCGCACTTATTTCCTAACGTACAATTTGGCCAATATCTACACTTCTCCTTCGACTTGTCTATAACTGTTACTGCATTTTCGGTTAATGGCTTCTTGTCTAAACCTGTAGGAGTAATAAATACAAATACATCGAATTCTCATATTGTGTTTTTAATAAACGATGTAACCACGTTACTTACGTTTGGTTAATATTGGATTCGCTGGTATCGTGCTGGACTTGGCGTCCGCTGGGCTGGGCGAATGAGATCTGTTATACACAATAGGACTTAATTTTCTTCTCTTTCTCGGTACCTCCTCGGTAGTCTTCTCGACATTCTCGGTGTTACAATTTTCGTTATTCTCTTCCGCTCTTTCTTTTCCACTCGCGTCCTCCTCATCTTCCATTTCGGTTACTTGAAAAACAGATGTTTCTGACTCATTCTGAGCATACACATCATTCTGTGTTGTTAAAAGCACAAGTTCATCGTCTTCATTTACCTTCAAATACGATTTATAAAAGTAGTATCAAACGATAACTAATTGAATTGGTAAAGAAAGTCAAGAAATGTGCATCGGATCGAATTTAGAGGGCGTTGCTAATAGCTACCTCCATTTCCAAACGTTCGTCGTCATCGGACGCCGTTTTCTCCTTCGTAAGATTATTATTGTATCCGTTCAGTGTGACCAAAAATTTCTGGTTGTCGTCGCTCCTTTGAAACAATGACATTACAACCCCCATGTGTTCGTCGGTAACCGATTGATGTACATCTAGAAACCGTACAATATTAAATTAATTATATAAACAAATTCCAGGCGTAAATACATTTTTATGCCCTGAAAACGTACTTACAAGACTTCGATTTTGTTTCCGTAACATCCGTATTCAATTCAACTTGTATCTTCTCCATGACGAATCTCTTGTTGGAATTAAGGTGAACCGATAAATTTTGACCCACGTCTCGAACGGCAGCAGGTTTAAGACGTTTCAACGTTTGTTTTTTATCCAACAAACACGGTTCCGGATTCTTTTGCGTAACGACAGACTGGTTGGCCTCCGCGACAGCTCTCAACAGAAGCGACTGTGTAGCACGTTTTTGCGTAGGCTGTAGCGGTTTCAAAGGTCTTGGTGTTACGATTACTTTGCTGGGTATCTTAGTATCATCGATATCTTCCGCGTCGCTGGACTCTTTGCTCGTTTTATCCAACAATTTTAATCGTTTTCTTTCAGTCTTGATCGGCGCGGATTTATTTACAGCTATTATGTGGGATTTGATAGGTCCGGAATTTCCCGCGGTTTGCTCGACATCGTCCAATTCTTCTTCCGCGCCCAGATTCAAATAATCGTCATCCTCGCTGCTCTGGGATCGTCTGATCGCCGAATTGAAACCAGCCTTAATGCTTACCGACCTAAAATTATTCTTTAATGGTCCCAATCTATTTTTTATGTTTTTATTGTTACTTAAGGTATCACGATCCTGCTCTAGAAGTTTGCTCTTAAACTCCGGCGGTTCTTTACTCCCTAATTGCTTTTGCAATTTATTGATACTCGCAATCCCTAAACGATCTTTAATCGTGCCCGTCGTTTTCTCTATCGATTTTGATTTTAAATTAACATTCACCTTCTCTCTTAACTCTATACTTTTAGGTACTTTCTCCACTTTGGAATTGCATAATCGAATCTTAATATCGCCAGCCTTGTCCAATTCATTATGTTTCAATTCAGTTTCACGGTTTCTCTTAATACGTTCGTCCATATCGAAGTTTCGTCCTTTCTGAAAGTTATTGTTGCGAGTATTATCGAAACGATGCTTCTCGACGCGCTTCTCGTTCTGTTTGTAACGACTCTCGTTGTCCGTTTTTTCTCTGTGAACTTCGAATTTCTTTCTAGGTGATGTTATACCAAGGCGAGTTTTAACAGAAACAACAGAGGTAACCTTTGGTTTATTAACGCAAGACTTCAATTTCTTTGTACCGTCCTCTGTTGCCGTTTCTTCCTCCCCTTCGATCTTTGATCGTTTTATTTCAATTTGTTTCTTCTCTAAATTATCACGATAATTATTTGACGTTTCCAATGGCCTTTTTAGACTTCTAGACAATGTATTATCCACTTCTGATTCGACATGAGACTCTCCAGATTTAATGTTGGAAGTTTCAAAGACGGATATATCCTTAGGTGTATTTCCATTTTGATTATCATTTGATTGCATTCTTCTTGTCAAAGACTGTTGAGGAACACTATGATTTATCCCGCTGTCCAATTTATTCTCATGATTTGCACTCTTTGCGGACTTATCTATAATTTTAATTGGAACTGTGTCCAACTTCTGAATAGACACAGACGGTTTCATGCTTTGTTTATTGACAGACTTGTCATCCTTTACACTTTTATTAGAAGGCTTGTCTATAGCTGGAATAATGACCTGATCGTCCAAGAAGGAGGTTGTAGATGATTTTTTCTTCTTCCTTTCCTCTTCCTGCTTAACAACAACCGTAGGCACAAATTCTCTCAATGATTTCTTCTTTGCTACAGTGACCTTCTGTAACTTTTTCAATACTTGATCGTGCAACCAATCGACGAACGGTGTTGTACAGCTTTCCAAAAACAGATTCAGATCATCGTGCATTTGCTGGCGAGATTTTTTATTTACAACCATTACTAAAATATAATCTGGTAACTCTTCATCGTATCGTACTCCTAATTCTAGTAGTTTAGCACGAATGGCGCTCTGAAAGAATAATAACAAATATATTAACAAACTATGATGTGAGACATAGTAAAGCTGACTGGTATGGATGAATTACACGACATATTTTTAATTCTACACAGGTCGACTAACAATTAAATACCACGTAACTCGCGTTATCGAACTGCAAAGTTTAAACTGCAAAAAAAAAAGAACCGACAGACCTAATATTTTCGTTATTTATTCAATTTTACAATATCCCGTACACTATCCCTTCGATCTCCCACGACAATTACGGTTGCATAGTGTTCGTGCGCGAAGTTATTACAGAACTAATCGAACGATGCACCGAACGTTACCCTTGCATTTTAAAATAAAAACGATTACAGAAATGTTGAGAGTAATGTCTAAAACCGGGCAAGAATGATAATGAACGAGTGCATGGATATTAAAACGTGATAATCCTACAATGTTCCTCATTCGAAACTGTTAAACACGACTAGGTGCTTAGGAAAGGTCTACGTTAGTGGCTAGGAAAGTCCAGTTAGAAGATCGGACGTTCTTACTTACACGCAATTGATTCGTAACTTCTATGCCGCGTATGTCCATGGCTGACGATCACATTTAACGGGACGATCGTACGGAAGAAGTGAACGATTGTCGAATCAAAAAATCGACGATATTATCACGGATATTAAGGAATAAAAACATCCTCTGCCACGAAGGATCAGAATGCCTCCTTTCCACTGAACGAGCATTTTACATAGACGGGAAACCTTATACCGTCTACTTGTTCGTAGTAAAAAAACAAGCATAAATGCACTCCGGAAACGAAACTTTTATTCCGACAGTCCGCTATCTTTGATTCATAGAGAAATAACATAATTACATTGATTAAACTATCCTCGTTTCGAGTATATTTATGAATCAATGCAGTTATTAGGTTTTACGAAGTTAGTAGTAGTAGTTTATGATTTTTCAAAACCAACATACTTTGAGATTGAAAATTAATAAATTAAAAAGAGAGTCCACTCTTTGCCAGTATCGTGCACGCTGTAGCATTTTTCAATAAGTGTATTTTTATAATATGAACGAAACAGAAGAAGTAATTGTTGCAGAAATTAATTATTAATGATTTTCCTCGACATGTTTCGTGATAACCGTATCAATTTGTTATGACGAACTAAATATATGGCATTGTAGTATAAAGTATGGGTCGGACTTTATTTTTTAAAAGGATATAGCCGAATATTTTTGCAGGTAAAAGACATAGTGTTTAAACAGTGATCTAATAGCGATCACTGCTGGCCACTTCTGTACATTGCTGACAACTGCTGACGCATGAAAGCCACTACGATCAGAATTGATCATTGCTGACAACTACTGATAACTAGTGATAATTATTGAACCCTGCTAAGTACTTCTGGTTTCTATTAGCCTCTGCTGATTTCTATAGACCTTTCACCTAATGTATTTTTTCATTAACTTTTTTCATTGACTCAGAAATAAATTTTAATCCTTTCCATAGTCAACTCACATTTATGCAAAACTACAGCTGTTTGCCTATCAATACTAATTCAGTGAATAATTTCTCAACCATCCATGAGAAGAGAACGCTAAAATCACCTCCGAATTTTCAGGTCCGAAATTCAATAAGGCAAAAGCACAGACGCGGTATACCATTTTTCGACAAGCTTGGACGTTCTATGGTAGATGGCGATGCAGTCCTTGTCCGGAAGTGCATTCAAATGCAATTTATTATTTAATTAAGTTTTGGCCTAGGTTTACTAATTATACCGATGTATATAGTCTCAAATTAATTACCTATAAACGATGTAGAACCCATCACGTCCAAGAAGTTCATTTCGTATGAATAAAATCGAAACAAAAGAATAACATAGTCACCGTTCGTCGTAACGATCAATCAAGCAATTAGTTATTTTACAAGATGGAAGTGTCAAAAATATTCAGAATAGAAATGATAAGGGATGTAATCAGGTCGACTCATTTGTATTTGCTCTATGAGCTCTTCCTGTTGTCGATGAAGATCACCGCCGCCATGTTGGTTGCAGCTGTTAGGATGGTGATACCCCCTAAACCAAAGAATCTGTTGGGAGAGACTGTGCTGGTAAATGTGGATAAAATTAAGAATGCAATCTAGATTTTATTTTTGGGGTTAAAATAAAAATTTTTGCTGTACCAAGAAGCTTAGAAATCGCTGCAGTATACTGTTGACCCTTCACTATCATTCGCGATATCTTTCCGTCAGATTACCGGTGCTGGGCACGGAATTGGTAGAGAGTTGGCCATACAATTAGGTAATCTGGGCTGCACGATCATTTGCTGGGATACAGACAACCATGAGCTCGAATCGACGATGAACGCCGTGTATAACAATGGCGGAAAAGTAAGAGAAGATGTCGAGAAACGAAGAGTAATTCCATTATAATATTGAACTTCCTAGGCTTACGGGTTTAACGTCGACGTGTCTGATAGGGAGGCGGTATCCAGGACCATAGACAGAATGGAACAAAAGCGTATACCAGATGTATCGATCCTGATTAACAATGCTGCCGTGTTATATTATAGTTCTTTCTTTTACGGGTCTTTAAATGATATCATGCCGACGTTCAATGTAAATGTTCTTTCTCAAGTCTGGGTATGATAATCTAGCAGATACGAACGTGAATTGAAATTTAGAATTACCAGAAAGTATATTTTTTATGTTTACTTGTACAAGTGCTTGCTTTTGGTCATACTTTTAAAATTTTGATAAGAAATGATGAAACGATGAAAACAGAGGAGAGACGCACACTTGGGGGACGGGGGGATTTTTGTATTATAATTTTAAATCGCTAAGGAAAAGGAACTTTATGACATCGACGAGTTACTTTGCTAACTGCACATGTCTACTGCGTGTCTAGACTACTAGAATATCGATGCGTGTCTTTGAATTGTTATTCCTCGTCCTGTAACCAACACTTACGTAAGTGTCCGACACGCTTTAAAATGTTTAACTCGTTACATTTGACCCCAAGTGTGTTCTGGATAGAAAACGCACGAAAGAGGCAACTTGTCGTTAGTTTAAAGAATTTACGTTCCCGTTTATCTTTCTCTATTTTCTGAGGGTCAAAAAATAACTTTTAACCCTGAATCTGTAATCTGTAAATCTGTTTATAAAAATGTTCGTCTCAGACGATCGATGGTTTCATCCGAACCATGATAAGGAGAAAGAAAGGGCATATAGTGAGCATAAACAGCATGTGCGGGATTTACGGGTTGTCTGGAAAAGTCTCGTATTGCGTTTCGAAGTTTGCAGCCAGAGGTATGAGAATTCTTGCTATTTTCTCGACGTTCGCCAAATAAACCAAAATCTTAAATACAGTTTTAAAAATGTCTGAACGTTCTCGTTGGCAGGATTAATGGATGGGCTTCGCGATGAGTTTCGTCAGGATCCTCGGTCTGCTTGTATACAATTCACGACTATTTATCCATTTTACGTAGACACCGGACTAGCTAAAGATCCAGAGTACAGGTGAATGGTCCTCCATTTTGAATTACAAATCGAAGTTTTAAGACATTTTATTTAAATCTTAGAAACGGTATCATGGACTTAGCTTTTCTTATAGATTTCCATACATATTTCAAGTAGTATCGCCCGAGTACGCAGCGAAGGAAATAATAAAAGCGATAAGAAGAAATTATACCGAGTACGCCATACCTAGATGCCTTCTTACTTTAAGCGCCATTCTTAGGTCAGAATCAGTCATTGCAAGTAACCTAAATATATATTTAAAAAATATAAATAACGGGGTATGTGGCTTAACATAGGGTTGCACGGAGTTAATTGAAAACGTACTGTTCGTTATTACGATCGTGATTTACCACTTTGGAGTCATTCTTACTTTCAGAATTGTTCCTGGGAGCGTAATGACGTTGATTCTAGATTTCTTGTCGGGCGCGGAAAAGAAATGGAAGAAACGAAATAATTAGTTGCATAAGGTGTCATTATATCGTATTAGTTTGGTGTATTGATGTTAGGTTTTAAGTGAAATTAAATAAAACATTCTTTCAAGAGGTTGGATTACGATCTGAACTTTCTAATTGCAAAGCTAAATTTTTACCGTATCGAAGTCGCGACTGAAATTTACGTGGATCTTGAACCCCAGATCGTCTGATCGAGAAATATCGTTTAAGAATATCGCGTGAACAGCGCTTCAAAGCATTCATGTGACTAGTACATACTAGTAACGAGGTCGTAAAACTGTTCCGAATGATTAGCTGCGCAAACTTCGCGGCGTGCAACTTCCATGTTCATATTACAACAGTGGTGACAGGATATCCTCAACCACGCACCTGTTCGAGGACGAAAAAAATTCGGGGATAAAGATGATTTCTGTACACTTATCGCATAAAGAACAAGGCCTTTCATTATACAGAACGCTGATAATATTCTGAATGCAGGAGAAACAGAACTATGCAGGTGCATAGTCTTCGAAATATCACGTTCAACGCTCCACGTTGCGGATCAATGGCGGATCTATCATCGAAACTAAATCTATCGTGAAAATATCCTTATTCCTGGGTCATATGCTTTTACATACGCGCACTTCTTTTCTCAAACGATCGTATCGATATATGAGATTCAAGGGACATGTTATAAAAAGTAACATAATAAAGAAAATTTCAATTTTTTTCAGCTTGTTGATGGAATTTTTTCTTCCAAAAAATTTATAATCCATTGTATGCCAATTTAAAATTTCCAAGATACGTTTTGGAAGGCATGTACTGTCCAGAGACCTAATGTAAAATAAAATTTATATATATATATATATATTTTTATATATAATACAATTTTTCCTTTTTGCTGATGGAGTTCTATCTTCCAGAAGCTTTTTAGAAGTTTTAGAAGATACATACAGTCCAGAGAGACGATATATAATATAAAATTTTAATTTTTCCATATTACTGATGAAGCTCCTGCCTTCAAAAAATTTATAATTTATTACATATCGATATAAAGTTCACAGGACGTGTTTTAGAAGGTGGATACAGTCCAGAGAGACGAAGTATAATATGAAATTTCAATTTTCTCGTCATGCTGAACTCCCCCCCACTAAAAAACTGTCCCCCACCGTTGGTGATTTTGGTTCCAGCGAATGCAACTTTAATCGAATACCGATTTAGACGAAATCTGATCTCGTATACCGCCCAATTCTGTTGGTAGCCAGTCGTTGCGGCGGAGGCGTCGGTGTTGGTGAAGTTCGGTGTCCGTGGTCGATACCAGAGATCCATTCGCCTCCGCGTCGCGTTCAGTCGGTGCGTGCTAGCGGCTCGGTTCGGTCGTGCTCACTTTTGCGTCTCCATTCCGTCGTCGCCCCATGATCCCGCCGCCCTGTTTTGCGATTCACGACGCGCTCTCGTACCCCGATCCATACACGCGATCGTCGATCGTACCGTCGCGGGTCACCGGCGGCCCGGCAGCGGCGATCCACGATAGATCGTCGTTCGATCACGCGGCAGGTGGCACGACAGAGGAACACGTGGACCAGCGAACGCGATTCGACCGTACGAGTGACAGCGATCACGGTGTGCCACGGCGCGGGTTCCGTTTCGTGATAGAAACGGGGCATTCGTCGCACGAGAACGCCAAGTGTACGCGGTTACGAGATCGCTACGGTATCGGGATGTAATCTCGACCGAAGAGCGGGAAAAAAAGTTTCGCGACAACTGGTTCCGCGGAGGATGTGCTACGGTCGGTTCGCCGGTAACGTGACAAGTTCTACGACTTCTTGAATGGTCCAGGGATCCGTGACAACCGTGAGTACATTGTACTCCCGCGTCCACCATCCACGAGAACCCCTTCGCGAGCCTAATTTAGAATTTAAAATATCGATATGGAAGCACTCGTGTACCCTCCGCGATTACGATTTCGCAACTTCCTCCTTATGGTCTCAAACTTTGTCGAACCAAAGTTGTAGATTAAGAAATGGATCTTCTAAAAGTTAGACACACCAGCACGGCTGTTGATCTCTCGATCCGTTGTTGGTGAATAATGACTGTCGGAGCAGTTTCGTCATCGACTTATCAGCATTCTAGTTTCTAGCGAAACAATAAAAATTTGCCCTAAATCTTGAATTTCAACACTAGCGGACTGTCTAACTAGAATTTAATATATTTAAATATTTTAGTATCAAGCTCCTCTCAAAGCTAGAGAAATATTAAAAGATTTTAATAAATTCAAGTTTCACGAACCTTAAATTGAGTCGAGGGAACAAGAAAAATTGTTCTAAATAAATATAATAATCTAAAGTTTAACATTGTTTGAACGATAAATTACAGTAGACTAAGTAAATAAATGAATTAAATTTTATCTTGAAGTCCCTCTCGAAGATTAAACTTTGACGCTTCGTTAAAGTTTGCCAAACCTTTTATGTCCATTTAACGTTATAGAAAACTATTGTTATTTGACAGTATATTTTTGCCTGCTTTTGGCGAAGTGCTGTTGTATCCAACAGTTCGCGACGATTTAAGAACGGCTGCTCGGAAACGGCGCGAAAAGAAGTCTAGATACCGGGGCTTCGTTATCGCGCAGCGACCTTATGTAATATATATACATATTTCATTTATTTTTAGCCCGCGAGGCTAGGTGTAGACAATCGTGAATCTTCTTTCTACCATTGACATTGACAATCGCGCGGTGTATCGCGATACCGGCGGAAATATAACGGCGTTGCGCTCGCCGCTTCTTCCTGTGGACTTCGTTATGCATATATTGATCAAATTAATCAGAGTGTTTGCGAAATTAAACGGTGAACGAACTGTCGCCGCTCGCTCCAGCATTTACAATCGATATACGAAATTAAAAAAAGTATCGAATATTTCAGATTTATTTAAAAAACGCACCGAGCGATTTTCTGCCGGCGCGCGTGCAAACAGCGGAGAACTTTTTGTTCGAATGTACCGGCGATATAAAAATAAGGAAACTCTTTCATCGAAGAGTTAACAGAAACATCAGATATTTTAGTCTAGTTTAACCAAACCTGACGTTCCTTTAGTTTTTTCTTTAAATTCCGTGCCCCGGTCCACGAGTTGTCTGTCGTGTTCCTCAAAGGAGAGGTCAACGATAATGTGAAATGCGAAAAGCAGATAGCCATTTATCGCCCATCGACTATAAATTTAACGTTTGGCGCCGTTCGAATCGTTCCCCGCGATACAAGAACTAAATTCTTACGAACCGAATAAAACGATCGGTTCGTCGATGGGGATCAAAGGTGTTTAAATCCACTGGATGATCCAAATTCCGATTCTCAAGTGGGCGAAGATCATTACATTTCTTTGTGTAACCATTATTATCTCGTTTCTTGTTGAGAAGAGGCGTTTAATTTTTAACGAACAAATTTTCATTTGTCACTGATAACGGATCAAATGAGCCGTCTCTATGATCTCTAAATCGCAATTAGCGACGTATCCTTGAACTTTCCGGTCCCGAATTTACGTTAATGCCTGTTCCATAATGCACAGCTAATTTCGTTCCCCCCGTACGATAATTTTTAATTATAATAGTTATTTTATCTGCAAACGAATTTATTTCGACTGCGTTTAATCGACCGATTAGCAGACACGAAATTAATACGGTGTTATTAATAGAATCCGTTTCAAAATTTTCATTTCGTACCGAAACTCGGAACCGGCCGTGAAAACGCAAAATCACAGTCGTCTTTCGTGCATCCGCGAACAGGTTATTTCGCAAAAATTATTATTCCGTCCAGCGGTGTATTAAATTCGAAGAATCTTTCCTGCCTGTTTGTAAGTTATTAACATTTTCGTGTATCGACGCCTGGACACTGGCAAATAAAGGTTAAACGGGCTTCGTGGTTTTTTTAATCTCGAATTCGATTCGGAACAATTCAACAAGTCTTGCGCTCGCGAATGTTTACAATTAATGTGCGAAATATCTTCCGCGAGACGTACGGTGTACAAAAATATGCGAGATATGTCACGGAATATTGCATTTTTAAACGTTGCAGCTTCGTGCGTTTTTTTCGCTGAACGTTTCGGGGAAACGATTCGTGTGAAAATAAAAATAATTGTACGTGGAAAAGGAGACGCGTTCCTTAAAAGACGTCGTGTGCGTGTTCATTGATTTTGTTCCTGTAAAGTTCGTATCGATCTAAATAATTTTCGTCGGATTATTAATACAATGCACGCGTGAAAAATTACAGAGATATGATACTTGTGATATTGATTGCCAGACGCGTCTGACAATAGACAATCCGTTTCCCCTTGCGCTTCGCTTCTTCCTCGTATTCCAGAGCTTCGCTGCACATAAATCAACCATCGAATAAAGAAAGATAATTATCTTTATTCCTAGTTCGAAAACCAGTTATTAGCATTCAACGAATACCGATTAAACGAATTTATTTTACGGTTATAGAGACTTTTTTCCATTCCGTGAAATTTATATCCCGCCACTCCGAGCCAAGTTTCTAAACCCGCGAAAGGTCAATGGCAAGTCCTCGTCTCCGGCGGTATTTTTATTCGAAAATTCCGGATAACATACATTTCGAACGACCTTGACGTTTGCATATCGCTCGCTTGTAAATTACTTTTAATTAAAAATTTATGAACACTCGGCCAATATTTATATACGCACTGCAGATACCATTAGCGTGTTTCGTGCTGTTATTTCGTCGAGCCGTTTAAAGTTAAGGTGATTGATACTTTTATTTCCTTGGGAAATGAGAAATAAGGTAGAAAAGATTGGTAAAAATTACGCGATACGGGTATATCGTTTATAGAAACTGGTCAGACTTGCTCGGGGCGATTAAAAACTAGTTAAAACTGAAGCAAATCGGGAATAATAAGACATTCTAATAGAGTAAGAGTTGCTCTCTTATTATCTCAATTAACTTTTATTAAATCACACTTCTATCGGGCAATTTCTCACAGTCTTTCCTCTTTCTTTCTTCGTTTACTTTATTCGTCTGCATTTTCTTAAGTTCTTAGACAATTTTAATAAAATAACGTATGAATAAGAAAGAGAGAACTATTGTTTCTAAACCATTTTGATTTCCATTTAATTTGCACCTGGTTTCGTTCGATAAGTCACGGTAGCTGGCGCGTAATTGTCGTTTCTGCTTCGCGGCGACTGAGAAATGAAACGCACGCCAAGAACGGATCGTCGTCAGGTGATATTAACGAATTCAAAACGGACACGTTCGGATCTAAGATCGGCGACGAGTGTCACGTTACTTCGCAATGCTTCGGAATGCAAAATTAAACGACCAACGCGCTAGTCTCGTTGCTTACGAAGGCTTTTCTCTATCTCTCTCTTTCTCTGGTCGCGTATGGACGAAAGTCGAGATGCGTAGAGGAAAGCTGGAGGCGCTTGCGGTGCACAAATTCGAAACCGCACGTCGGTGCATTTTCAGCCAAAATTTCGTCGATACTCCTCGCTCGAACCGACCGTCAGAAGTACGAACACCGTCGAAAGGAACAGTTTGATATTTTTAATAACGGGAGAATACGCGATATTTAATTGGAAAAAAGTAAATTTCTGCTTCGAACAAAAATCGTTTCTGGTTGAATAATCTCTGGCCCAATGCAGCGCGGATAAATCGAAATTAATATCCTCGAATTAAAACTCGTCATCGTTAACGGTAATAAATTCACCGGGCACAGAAGCACGACGCAGGTAATGCAAATTAACAGATGCGTTAAATTACGAATAATTGCCTAGCTGACAGATACTGCCGCGGCGAAGTGTATCGGTGGTAAATTTTGAGAAACGCTTCCTCATGTAAATTCGGGAATATATTTCGCGCGCATCGAGTGCCATCAAGGTTTCCGCCAATGGAGAAAGTGGTATACATCGCAACGAGTACCTTAACGACGTCTCCCGTCGCTAATTCCATACGTCAAAATATTTTTTATATCGTGGAAAACACTTTCCATTCGAATGATTTACGATCGTGTACGTAACGAGGAAAAATGATTGATCTCGCGGTAAAAACGAGTGCAAGTAATATTTAAAAAGACAGCTCGATCTGCTGTCTTAACAAATTCGATTCCATTTCGTTAAAAAAATTCATACGGTCACTTGAAATACGGATGAATGTGTTCACAAAGTTTGAAGTCGATGGGCGCAATGGGATTTTAAAAATTAATCAAGAAAGTCTAGATTTACCCGTTTAATTACCGATCGAAGAATTTAATAAAAAGAGAGGATCGAAAATAGAAGGCGAGGTGCGCCAAATTTGGTATTCGTAGGATGTTTTATTCCGCGAATATCAATTGGATTTCGACAAACGCGTGGCCACGAAACTATGCATCGGCACGTTGGCGAGCGACAGAAATTCGCAGACAAAGATTGATCGATCGATGGATCGGACTAGGAAAGGTACGCGACAAGAATAGTTTGACCCAGACCTTAAGTGACTGCGAGGTCAGCAGCCGACGTCGAGCACCGCTTTTATATTTCACTCGGCAACGTCGAAGAAGCCGCAGACTCACATTGCGCCTCTATAATGTTCCTCTCTAGCTTTCATTACCACTGCGCTTATATCGCTTGGCGATACTGCCAACCGGGGAATAGTGCTCACTATGTTGCACGCGAACCGCAAAAGTACAAGTCGTTAAACTCTTCGATTTTCTGCTTTGATAGTTCGCAACTGGCCAGGGTCTGTACGTATGAAAATCTCCTTTCTTTGCCACACCAATCGAGATCAACGTTCCACTTCCAACAATTTTGGCAAATTTACGAACTCGGAATCTCTACAATTCTGTATTACTCCTGGGGATCAATTTTTAACGATCTCCTTAGAAACTTTAAATTAATATTTCTCTGAAATTGCTTCGATGATTGTTCGAAGTTTGTGGAGCCCCCAAGACAACGAAGGTGTGGACCGTGTCACATCTGAACGATGTAATATATTTCAATAACTGTTCTCGTCGACGACCCGGAATTGCAACACCAGCCTAAAGGCTAACAGCAATTAACGTTAAGTGCTAAGTTCAAAGTGACTGTGTATTGTCTGCTGAAAAACAACTTGACTGCAATGTTCAAACTAAATGCAACTGGGTTAGAAGTGGATTGAACTGTGTCCGGATTACGGCCAAACTAGGACTATGAGTCACGATTGCGCGGGTACATTTTTCAATCGATATATCGCGATGTTCCTCTAAAAGTTTCGCCTTTGGTATCCCCGAAAAATTGATTCTCAGCTTCTCGGTTAACGCGGAGCGGTCTACGAACCGGGGCCAGCAGCCTCGACCGATCTCTGTTCCTCCTTGTAACTTTATTCTTTTTGCCCCGGCGATCCTCGACGCAGTTGGTAGCTGGTTGTCGTAAATTAGAGCTCAAGGGCCGCCACGCGCGAGTCCGTGCCGCAAATCGCGATCTCGGTGGGAAAGTATTTCGCCGGTGGTGCAGGCGTGAAATAATTTCGACGCTATTTTTACCGTACGTCTATTTCGCTGCGTTTTACACCGTTTGCAACGGATCCAGCACGACCCACGATGAAAAGAACGCCTCTCGTCGACCGCGGAACCTCGAAATTATCAACACCGACCGTCCAGAAACAGCGGGACGCGTATTTGCATATTCATATCGGCGATTAAGCTGCTGGTCGAACGATCAGCGAGAAGCACAGTCGCGGAATAATTGAGGATAATTGGGATACGATTACTAATTGTACAGATGTACCGAGAAAAAGTCTACTGATGTCGAAGACGATCCTTTCTGGGGGGGTTTAATGATTTTATCGATAACTTATTATTCCGTTTAGAGCGAGAAGGTGCTCGAACGTGTCCTTCTAGGCCATTTTCGACTCAATTACGCGAGGCGCGAGTCAATTATTTACGACTTAACGCGGCTGCTCGATCCAATCAGCAAACCGTCGATTAATCGCGAGCCTTCTGCCCCGTCTCTTCCCGAAGATAGGATCGGAAATTTCTTTGCGCGGTGGTCTCCTCCGTGTCGCCCGATAAGAACACGACGCACCGCGTCGTAAATGTTTAACGCGGCACGAATCGGTTTCACGGTAATTCGCACGGCTAAATTGCCCGACACGGAGAAATCATCTTCAGCCGATGACCTCATCGCGGAAAACATTCTCTTTCTTCGAGGGAAGTCGCTTTACTTCGATGGGATCCTTTGTTTTCTCGTTACTTCGCTGCTTAATTCAAACGTCATCGAACTCTCGACGATCTTTCGTCGTTAATCAAATTTTTCGATAGAGTGTTCGTCCGAAGAGGTAGTTGCATGCAATGGGTATCACAGAATTTAACTTGGGAGTTCGACCTAGTTTGGAGACCTAAAAATTCATTTGCCATATCGATTTCAAGCTTTGTACGTACGCCTATCGCGATTTTCTATGCCCCTAGTCTGTACTATTATTAACAATCACCGTTATCTGGACTTTCAGAGGTCGTGAGGAAGCTCCGAAGCCGCAAACCCTCCTATCAGAGCCTCTCAAATGGATTTCGCAAGAAACCTTCGCGAGTAATTCTGTGGTTAAGTGTCGGTACGACTGTTCCCTAAGGAAAGAATCAGGGGTTTCTAGCAATCACATGTTCGAATCAAGGACGTGCAGGAGGCAATAGTACGAGGGATCAGCGGTAAGATAACGACATCGAGGAGGATAGTTTCGCGGTGTACGTCGGAATCGAGTATCGGGGCTCTTAATGGGCATTCCGCGGATCCCAGTCGAAGTTCGCTTGGCTCTGTACGAGGGAAGCAGGACTCGAGAGGAGGAAGAGGAGCCTTGAGAATCGTCGGGAGGACTTTATGGTCGCTCGAGGGTGGCGCAGAGTGGCGAACGACCTGCTGCAGCGCGATAATCCTCCGCCCTCCGACCATCTTCGTGCCACGGAACGACGAATATGATCTACTGACCGTCCCTATGGCCGGCGTGTAACCGTTCCGTGCAGCCAGGATCGGCTCTTCCGACGTCCCGAAGGCGTCAGGACACTGAACAGTAATAGTGTAAATGTGCACAGACGCAGACATGTCGCGTATTTTGAATCGCGCCTCCACCATCGCCGCGATATTCAGCATCGTGATACTCGTGATATTCCTGGTGATTCTGTGGACCGGCGTGCACATCGCGACAGGGGCACGAAACCTTAGCGAGAAAGATGTCGAAAGGGCCCCGAAATCCGGGCTGTGGACCTTCGACGAACCGAGGCGGCCTTCGAACGAGTCCGCCACCACCACGGTGATGTTCGACGAGGAGAACTTCACCAACGAGGGTAAGTCAATTCGGATATTTGGATCTTTCAATTCTCGTGGCCGCCATATTGGTTAATCGATGTATTGAAATTATAATACATCACAGAAATTTGTATCTTAACGTCTCAATGACAGAACAGTGGACTCTTTGGTGTCCATTTTGACCAACGTCTGAATTTCATCATTTCACGTTTCGAATTTACACAAAGAGAATTTAAAAAACGAAGTAGATGACTTGTATATGTCAGTGGCCATGAACCCAATGGTTGAAAAGAGGCATAAACACAACATTGGTATCGAATCGAGAGCCTCGAAGACCGCGAATTGTTTAAGAGTGAGTCAGCGATGGTCGGTTTCCGCCATCGAAGGCGAATCCGGGCCTCACGGTAGCGTGAGAAGTAATTCGAGTATCGTCGTGCAGAAACAGAGGAGTTGCGAAAGATCCGTTAACGCGTTTAGTCTCAGTCGAGGTGTGCAGCAGCTCTCAGGGAAAGCTAGAACGTCCAGACGTCCTTGTAAGGCCGCTGCTCCAAAGCATCCACACCTACACCTACACCTACAACCATTGCTACGAGCATGAACCTTTATTCACAGTCGACCGTACTCATATTCCTACCCAACCTGTACCTACGTCCTAAGTACAAGCGGATACGCCGGCTTGGCTGGCTCGTTGCACCGTGCACCTGATGCTGCTTCGACGAATCGTAGTCAGCATTCCTTTCGGAGGTGAAAAATCGTCGCTGAAATTGCGCTCGATTTTCCGTCGCGCCCAAATCTTACGATCGATTCAATTTATCGAAGTCATATTCGTTATTCATTTCGATCGAACCGGTGGGCCACTCATTTCTACGCAGGATATTACTTTTCTCATCAAGAAACACAGAAATAAATCAATTTTGCAGATTTCTTAAACCCTGTAGCGCGTATAGACGCAAATCGGGAGACAAACGAAGCATTTTGGGTGAAAAAAAAATGAGCAAACCCATCTAAAATAATATCGTCAGCCACGGCCACGAGTACACGCGAGTTAAAAGGATAAAAAGCGCTGACTTACGCCTTCATTCCCGGATCGCGATCGCGACCGGGAGACCTCGCGCAGCACCGCCACTAATTTCGAGCAGTTTATTAGTTTCTCTGAAGTCGGTTATCTCGCCGAGATCTTTCCCCGCGAGCAGAGCTCCCTGTCCCGATCGGGCTGCCTGGTAATCATTAACGAGCGCTAATTGCACGAGCCACGGATTATTCTGCGGGCCTTCCTCCTCCGGTCTCGATTTCTTCGCCTCCGCGAGTCCCCGAAGACGTCGCGCCGCGTTGACTACCGATTACGAACGATAACTCGGAATCGTAATTTCAGCGAGTACCCGGGCACCGGCTTAATTGAAACGAAAATTAATGCGGCGACCCGGAACAATCCCCTCCCAGAAGGAAATCGTAATGCCGCCTCGTGTTTCGTAGCTGATTGTCTTGTCGGGATAAGTAATGGAAGCGTTTACGTTAATTCGATGACGCTGCCAACGCATTAATCGATGCTCGTTTAAGGAGAGAAGAAGTTGATCCTTCGAAAAATCGGTTTGATTTTATTTTTGTCTTGTGCTCGATGAACACGCGATTTCGAATTGCTGACGGAGTTCGACAATTCACGGTGGTTGATGGCTGCAGAGAGGCTTTGAAAAATATCCTACGGCTCGAATAAAAAATGCCGAGTTCTCGAGATGCTTTATAGAAGAAACGTTATCTCGTTGACGAAGGTAGGAATCGTCGAACGACAGGTAAATTCGACGTTGTGGCGAGATCTTACACGAGTGATTTCTACGTCACGGAACAGACGAGCGTACAATCGTACTGATAAGTCGTAGCGATAAGAGGATGGATGTTTGAATATTTACGATGTACGTAGCTTCCTACCTTTGTCGCCCGATGACAGTCGTATCATTACGGGGCGATAATCAACGGAGGTCCCGGGAGATAGCCTCGTGTATCCCGGGAGCGAACGAAACCAGGGAAAATAAATGGGGGACCAAGAACGGGGAACCGAAACAATCGCAATCCGATGTCGTAAAATTTTCACCCCGGTCCCTGGCGTTCCCGATCTTTTATGTTTCGCTTTTAACTGGTCAGATAAGAGTTTAATGACTGCAGATAGCGAGGCTCTCGTGTATCTTTCCGTCGCGATCTCGCGAGCCGAGCGTTGACTCGGCTCCCTTGCATTTGCATATTCGTCATGCTGAATTTCTTCAAAGAAAGCACGCGTTCGCCGCGAAAATTAGCGTAAACATTGCTCACCGTCGCGATGGGAATCTCGCCCGGTTAAACGAAGGATTTTGTGGCGCGGAAGCAACCGTGAAACTTTTCGAGCATCGAGCCGCGGAAGTTACGACGGTAGTTCTTTTACTCTATCGTTGGTAAGATAGATTATTCGTATCGCTAGACGAGCAAACAGGTATCGAGTGCGATGTGTTTGCCCGGCAAACTTATCTAATTGCGCTTGGGGAAGCAGTTTGATATTTTGTAACGCGCCAAGGGCCATAATTCAAAAAGGTAAGCTCGTTTCGAGATCCCCCGTCATCGTGGAACGATTTTTCGGCGGAATTCTCGCGTTTATTCTCGGTGGAATAAATTAGAACAGACGTTGGAAGTTCTTAGCAGCTCTGGAGACGTTTTTTAGAAAAAGGAATGTGTTAATGTTTAGTTGCAACCCCACGGCGAAATTTGTGGGTACGAGGAGTCAGAATAGAAGTTTCGTACGTAAAGGTTGACCTCGAAGAGCTCGCGGATGTTGTCGGTGAAATCTGAACGAGCCGCTGGGGGCGAGGGACGGAGAGGCCATCTTCCCTAGAATTATCCCAGGAGTTTCGTGCAGGGTTTCGTGTATTTCGTTATGCGGCGTGCATAATGCGCCGATCCGTGCATATCGGCGCGTGTAAGCACGTCTGCACGAAGGCATGTAACATCGTGTACACGCTTCCCCGGTGCAGGTACACGTGGACACGCGTGCATATTCAGCGTGTTAGATCGGCTACGTCGAGCAACCAGCAGAGAGACGTTAACTATCCCTATGTGTACGTGTTATTTGGTGATAGAACGAACAACACGGTAACCACTCGCGGATTGTACAGGGTGAACGCTTAAACCATCGATTCCGAGCACGAAGACAACAAGAAGCCTCCTCTTTTCTATGTTGGAACAATTCTAACTATTTCGAAAGAGAATTGAATACGTCAGACCTTGTACCCTAATTCTAAAATACACACGAGACCATCGGGTCATTAAAATACGCCGTGAAAGTGGAATTATTTGATTCAGAAATTACGCATACGTTTACACGAATTATTTAGATATTAAAATCAAATCTATAACATTAATTTCAAGTTGAGTATAAGAATTTTGCACGCGGAGCAACCAAAAGACGAAAATAGCGAACTTTATGCTAGCGCGACACAGTTTCGTGATAAATTTTCCGGAAGCGGAAGAGACGAAGCAACAAATAAATTTCCTCGAGTTAATTGAGCCCACCTACGAAAATAGAATCAATTTACTGCTTGCAAACTATCAACGACACATTGTCTTTTCCCAAAGTTTATTGACGATAACACTTACGGAGAAATATCAGTCCACATGATTTCAGATTCCATTATAGCGTTTAAAAAGTTGCAGACGGACCTTGTTATGCCATTCGACTTTTTCTCCTCTCAATTTGTTTTCTATCTCGTACGAAATGGAAGCTAATTACCCATTCGGCCGAATCGCGTGACGACGTCTGTCCTAATTGCGATAATTGAGAAAACAACCTTGTTATGAGCTTCAGCCATAGTTCGAGCCTCCTTTCCGAGGATTCAATTACCCGGTTTCTCTATCTGGAACGTCGAAACACGCAGCCAGAGGTTGGCACGCGAATCAACATTCAAATTAATTCGCTAATCGAATGCGAGAGAGGCGACGCTCGTTTCGGTAGCTACAAAGAAGATAACTCGGGACACAGATTTCGCTATTATACAGCGAACCGGCCCAGCGCTGGTCTTTCGCAATCGGTGTTCCGTTTATATTTCCTCTAAATCCATTCCCATTTGCATATCGAGTACAGCTACGATTCCAAAATAGCCCGATTACGGGCAGAAAAACATCTCTTCCACGGTTTCAGGGCTATGCTTTCGATCGTATCTTTCGGAAAGCGAGAAAGAGAAAGCGTCTTTATCGCGTCGTGTAGTTTTCTGATTCTGGTTTCTATTTTCGGAATATTCCGTAAGGAGCGAGCGACAGTAGGATTCACAATTTATTCGCGATCTTATAACTTTCGTGACGAGGAAATTTAATTACCGGCCGAACCTGAGTCGTATACCTTCGTCGACGTTCAGCGAAAAGTGCGTACGTCGCGAAGGTTCGTATTTCTGCAAGAGTTTGCAGTTAAAGATATCACGCGTTAAACAAAACACCGCATCGTACGACACGAAGTCCTTTCTGTCGACTTTTCCATTGCATTTACAATTTTTTATCGGAATTACAACTCGTGACAAATGTATTACACACGGGGAACATTATTGCGTGCACGTAAAACGAGAAATATAAGAGTCAGGTTCGAATAAAATATCGACGAGATGTCGAAACATCAACGCGACCAATTTTGGTTCGCGTACGAAATGTATGGCGATGGCTGGAGACTTCAACGCTGGGAAAAACGTTTTCTATTCGTCTACGGTCTCTCTACAAACTTGCTCGAATTTATTTTCACCGCTCGAACGAGTAGGAAATTTGCAATGATTGCTTTCCTATCTAATCCTTGGTAATCGCGAATATCGTGTACGTTTTTTAATAGTTGTCGATCAGACGGAACCCGAACACATGTTCTCGCGGACGACTGCGCGAAGGCGAAAGATATTGGACAGCGAAGTAAATGAAAATCGTTGGAGATATCTGAACGATGGTATTTACACGGGTAGACTGCATGGCGACGACCTCCAACCAAACCGGCCGATCTGCTTGAGATACACATTCAAGTATGTAAGAATTTTTATGAACGAACTCT